ACAACCTTTTCAAGTAAATAAAGCAATTTTCGATAAATATTAGACAATTTATTTTTAAATGGTATTGTGATTTATTTAATTTTTTAAATTTTAAAGTTAATCCAATCCTTCTGGGCAATATTGACAGAAAAATTATTGTTTGATTGTACATATCTATTGGGAAGCCGATATTTCGTGCGTATTGTTGGGTTAGGTTTGATTGAAGCTCATATTTTTGAATTGTATCAAATAATAAATAATATAAAAGTTTTTTTCATCGGTAATTCTATTTTGTCTTAATATTTTTATATTTTCAAATAAACATTTATTAATTTAAAATTTTGTTATTTATCGCTACTGATATATTAAAATTATTTAAAATCATTATCAATATTTTGAGTTTCTTGCTTTTATATAATATCTTTTTTAAGTGCGTCCTCTTTTGCATTATCAGGTACTGCTACATCTTCCATAATCATTCTTAATAAATATACTAACAATTCTAATAACATTATTTAACTGAAGTTTTATATATTTTTTATCCCCAAAACTAATCTATGTAGTATATTATTGTAATTGTCTTTGTCTCATATATTGTGATAAATTTAATTTTGGAAAATAATATAATATTAAACTTTAAATTCATATTTAATATTTAGTTAAAAAATTTTTAATTTTAAAAACTTTAAATTAATATTATAATGCTAAAACACAGCACACAGATTATTTTAAATTGATAATAGATTTTTAAGTTATAGCCTGTAAGGCTGGCTTTATTTAATTATATGAATAATTATTTATAAAAATATGTATATTAATGTCATTATGCCACCTCATTTATCTGAAGTCTGATGAGGGTATGTAAAATTTATCTAACAATTCATAGCTTGAAGCATAACTGAACAGTAACTAGAAACTGTCATTTTAATTTTTATTATTCAAATTTAATATTTATTAATTAATTATCTACATATACATATCATTATTAAATAAAATATGGACAATGTAATTGTGTTCAATGTCTTTTACAATAAAATTAAAATAATCATATCGACGACATTTTTAAGAAATAAAGAAGGCCATAAATCATTCGGCTCTCAAATTTAATTTAATTTTAACATAAAAAATAATAAATTGGATTCCAATTATAACCTGTTGATTAAGAATGTAAAATTATGAATTTTAACAGAATTTATGGAAAATTTAATTTTCTATTGAACGACATGATGTTCGTTTAATTTGTTAATTAAATGAGGATTTAAATTTTATAACTTTATTTATTGTAATATTTGTAGATTAAGCAATGTGAAACTTTTCACTTTAAAATTTGTAGATTTGTAGAAAAAAAATTTGTAGAAATTGTTAAAGTTGATACCTTTATAATTTATTCAAACAATTAATATTATTAACATTTATTTAAAAATACAAATTTGAAAAAAATCGAAAAAATTTAAAGTTTATTATATTTTCTACAATATATTTGTTTTATTTAAATTTAGTAGACTATGTAGTATTTATAAATCTATATACTAAAGTATATGTACTTCAAGAAATAACATTAATATTTTTATTTTAATAATTGTTAACTTTTTATTATCAAAATTAAAAATTTTTTTAATTTTTTTTTATATTAAAATATGTAGAACTGAAAAACTTTTCACATTTCACAAATTAATTATTATCGTAATAAATAAACTAGAAATATTTTATAAGCTTTATTGAAGTGTATGTATTTTATTAAATTATTATTTATAGTTAATATATTTATAATCTTGCATACTTTGGCAAGAAACGTTTTATTTAGTCGAAATATAATTAAATTTATATATTATTATTTATTTGTAATTATTTATAAATTTTTAAATATGTAGAAATAATTTGTTAAAAAATTTTTGAAATAATTTTCATTTATAAAATAATTTATGTACATAAAGCCGTAGCATTCAAAAATAAAATAAAATTCAATAGCATTAATTAAATTATTTTTCGCAAGTTGCGAATAGTTTTATTTTATGTTTCCCACATTCCAGATTGCCAGACAGATAAGGGGCATTTTTTCTTTCATTTTCTTTTTACTTTTTTAATAAGACCGCCCTGTTTTTTTGTCGTTCATTTTTCTGCAACGTTTAGCTAGACAACAAAGAGGCTTTAACTTGCCGACTTTTTTTCTTTTTACTTTTCTTTTCGCATATTTTTCTTTATAAAACCGCCTACCAACGATGTCCTGGGTTACCCGAAACCCGGCCTTTTTTCGACCCGAAACCCGACCCCCATGAATTTACGAAAATCCGACTCTTAATCCGAGTCGACATCTTTCTCGACCTGAGACATCCCTCATACCTACAATATTTTTAGAAATAAATAATTTTGGACAATTTAATAAATAAATATATATTTAAGAATTATATTTAAAAAGATTTTTAACACAAGGAAGATTTTTTTATTAAAATTGAATCCTCGTAAACAAATCAAAATCTTATGTTGTAATATTTTAATAATATTATTCAGAATCTGAAAATTATTAGAAATGACTATGTATTGGATTAATAAAACCGTAAATTATAGAAAAGCTCTTTATCTTCAGTAAAATTTATTTAAACAATGAGTTTGGGGATAATTTTCTTTTAAGACATGGGCCGGATCCTGGACTTGTATAATTCAGAAAAACAGGAAAAGCTAAACTTGTATATTTCTTAGTCTATTAATTTATCAATTTCTCTCTCGTTATAATTAACTGAATTGGATTTCATTTTGTATTTTTTACATTTGGATTTTTGGAGAGATTAAAAATTATTAGAAATCCAAGAATAAATTTGAAAAGAGTCTGAAAAATTAAACATTTTTATTTTAATATGATTAAATAAATTTAAATTTATCGATAAATTATATTTTATTTTTATTCTTTTATTTCGGGCATTGGCATAATCCAGGAAGACAAGTCTGTCCATGGCAATCATCATCCTAAAAAAAGAATTAATTGGAAAAATTTTTTTTGAAGTGAAAATGTATTTTCAGTTTATATATTCCGGTAGAGTTAGGGAGACCTAACGGGACAGAAATATCGTGATCGCTGTGACAAAATATTTTGAGTGTTGGGGTTTAGAACATAAAAACTCATTAAATAAAACAATGTACTGTCCAAAACCCTGTAGCCGAAGTCGAGAGACCATTAGAGGGGATGTTCGCAAATTGATATATCCCAATATGTCCGTCCCAATCAGGTTGAAATTTCGGCCTTGCGTTTTGCGGCTTTTGAGATTGTCCCTTGCGCTTACCCGTGGTCTCAATATGTCTGGCTCCCCCAGTAAATTTTATAATTTTTGGAAGGTTTAAAGAATTAATTCCCACAAGTTAAAATAGTAACTAGTTATTTTACTTACATTTTTACACGAATGAGCAACACATAATTTTCCAAATGCATCGCCAGTACCCTCGTATCCAGCCTCTTTGTAGGCTTTATCGCATTCACACTTATTTGTCTTTTCATCGCAAGCATTTTTAAGGCCACCACAAGGCTTCACCTTACCGTTAACCAATGTATTGGCTAATTGGGTTAGCCCTGGTGTTTTACCTGAAGGAAATTTATTTTTTGATTTTTTACTCTGGAAAATCATGGTAAAATTGAACTAAGCCTACCACCCAAATATTTTATTATTTTGTATTAAATTTTACATAATGTTTTCTCAAAGCAACGGCATTGGCATTTTCTAGTAGGGCCTCCGCATGTTCCACCTTCCCCACAATCTTTATCGTCAGAGCATGGTAAAGATGCTTTGCACTTCTAATTATTCAAAAATTTTTATTTAAAAAATAATCTAAAACAGGCTTAGTAATGGATGCGGATATGGATACAGATAAGTTCACAATGCCTGCGGATATCTGTCTGTATCCGCTGTAAGTATCCGGATACGGATACCAAAATTCATGTCCATTACAAAGTCTGATAATTTAGAAAATAATTTTTGTTTACCGTTGCATTTTCATCATCCCGCAAAAAGCTCTCTTCAATCCTTCGCGGGGCCCCAAAATTACCATCAAACATCTCTGCCTCTAAAAATAAAGGCATACTAATAAATACCCATAGGGAGATGATAGAAATTATAGAATAATTTTGGGACATTTTTTTGAGGGTTTAAAGGTCTTTGAAAAATTTTTTTTTAATTTTAAAAATTTTTTCTGGACTTATATAGGCCTTAGAAGGCCATAAATAAGTTTATTATTAATATTTTTATTAAACTTTATTCATCAACTTTACAAAGTTTAAACTTTTAAATTTTAACATTTTTGTTTATTACTCAGTTAATTCTTTAAATTTAGTCACATTTTTAAGCAATTTTTTAAATAATAATTTTAGTTTAACATTTAAAGTTTCATGCTAATAAATAATAATTTTAATGTTTATTTGGCCTTTAGTGAATCATTTAAATTTTTGAAAAGTTTTTTGAAATTTTTTTGGAAAATTAATATCAGCTTCGAATATTATTATTGAAATTAGATTTATAAAGATTAAGATAAAAATGAAAGAAAATTTGAAAAAAAGTTTACTCAAAAACAAAATCGAAAAAACTAACGAAAAACTATTCGGATATTTGTTATTGTACAACAGAAATGTAAATGGTCGGAAAAAAGTCTTGTCGGGTCTTAATCCGGAACCTGACTCTTCGGATCGGGTTTCGGTTCGGAAAAAGGTTTTTCAACATAAAATAATTACATATAATTTTTAAAAATATGTTTAATTGTTTTAAAAAAAGTAAAAGTCGATTTTTAGTCCCTTTTAAAATTTTTCATTACACATTTTTGTTGATCAAAGAAAGGAGATTAGAACATCTTTCTGAACAAAAAGGCAACTTTTCTCTTACCAGCCGCTTTATTTTTAAACCATCTTTATTCTTTTAAGTTAGGTTGGACGACCTTTGGTTGAATATATTTTAGTGTTTATAATGCTAATTCATTTTGCTTTCTCCTATTTTTTTAAAAATTTCTTCCAATTTTTAAAATAAATTTTTCTTTAATCTAATTTATTTTTTGGCTTATTAATAGGGTTGAGCGGTATCGGCGGATGATATAGCGGTATCGAGATCTCAATCGGGCGGGATCCCGGGAGGGATTATCTCGGTCTTTTTGAATCCCTCTCCCAATAGTAGTTACCCTCCCCGGACCGTATCAAAGGGAAATGCCGGGTTAACTACTCCCAATTTACGTCGGAATCCCGATTCCTCTCAACTGTACTTAACAAGATGAGTTACACGAAGAACGGAACAATTAAGCCAAATTCTATTAAACTTAGACTGTGCAATAGTTGGATTCTTAAAGGGTATTGTCCGCGTGGATTTGCTTGCATGTATGCACACGGGATGGATGAGCTACATGATGGGTAAAAGAAAATTTTTGCTTGGAAAGTTAAGAATATTTGGAAAAATATTTTTCGCTCATTTCTTCGTTCAAGTCAGTGTAGAAAAAAGTACCCTTTAGCCTTCAGAGGTTGTATCCTTGAAAAGAGAGATATAACGAAAAAATTAAAATAAACTAATGTTTTTAAATTATGTAAGTCTGTGCACTACATGGCTTCATAAAGGATACTGCCCGCGTGGTTTTGCTTGTAAGTTTGCACATGGGATAGAGGAACTTCTAGACGGGTAAAAGATAATTTTGTTTTAAATTAGGGTAGCAACCACGGAATTGTCAGGGGTTTGTCTGGGATGAGCCTTCCATTCCTTGATATGGTTATCAATGGCCTTAAAGTACGTGATATTGTTATATTTACAGGGAGAATGGAAGAAGTCAGATTCCGTTTAATCTAAAATAATTTTATAATCGAGTGTTTTCTTTCTCGTTTTAATACTAGACCCTTAGTTTTTTCTTAAATTTCAAATAAAAATTTTGAAAATTTCCAGTGATCGTGATGACACTACCAAGCTAAATGTTATCTGCAAACATTGGTTTAATAATAGAGAATGCCAAAAGGGTGATGCTTGTCGTTTTATGCATCCACCTTTTAAAAAAGTGAAGAAAAATGACGAAAATTTGGATAGAGATTGTGATTGTCCTGCTAATGTAGAGGAAAACTCTTCTGTTCGAGGAGGGAAAAAGGTAGCTACCGTAATTCCTAAAATAAAGCCCCGGGGGCTCATATTTCAGTTATCCTCCAAAGTGGGGCTTTATATAAGGGTGGGGTTCTAATTTAGCATGGGGAGGATTTTTATGGGGTGGATAAACGTGGAGCGGATAAACGATTTTTGGCTCTATAGATTAAAGCCATTCCTAATTTTTCTAGTCAACTCAGAAATTTTTCTAGGGTTCTTCTCCACCTGATCTGCCTACGTCTCAAAAGACTACTGGCAAAATCAACATTAATTGTTTTCTTAAAACTCCAATAGTGCCACAACATTTAATGACTGGATATGCGAGTTCCGGATTATTCCAAAGCCGAGGGGATCGAAATGAGAGCGGATCATCATCATCTACGGGCGGTGAACGAGTATATGCGAAGAGAGGTTTCTGAAAATTATTACTGCCTTTAAATTAAATTTAAGGCAAAGTTCAAGAGTTTTATGACAGTGATGATGATGAAGATGAAGAAGACGAATTGTTTTTCTTGGACAATATGAAAGGAGATAGATATATGGAATGAGCTTAGTAAAAAATGTAACGCATTTTTAATTTATTTGATCAAATTTTTTAAATATTTAAAAATTAAAATTTTTTATTTACTTCTAAATCATTTACTAAAATTTTTGGTTTAATAAAGATATAGAGATTTTTCCTAGGGAAAAAAATAATTTTGCAACGTTTTTTGGTAACCTTTTTATTGCTTAATTAATAAGATAGTTAAGAGAGAGGTCATCTTCAAATTTTCAAAATTCCAATCATTCTCGAACTACATTCTTCTGACAATTCTGACAGAGAGAGATCCGTTCCATCCTTTTTACACTAATTTTTAATTTAATTATTTTAATTAATTTATTTTTGATCTCAAAATTAAAGCATAGTTTCCGGAAATAGTAAATAAACATTAGAGTTTGAAATTTGAAAAATGCCGGATCCTGTTTGAAGGATCCCAGCTTTATTCTTATCCGGATCAGATTTTCCGGATCAAAATCCTGTCTCACCCTTCCTATCCTTTGTATCAGCTTGAGCATATCCTTTGTATCTGCCTCACATTTTTTATATCACTTGAAAAAAATTTCCGGAACTTATATTTTAAATAATGAAGAGTTTTTAGTTTTCAGATTTCTGGAATTACGTTTCAGAAACTATTGTATTACGTAAGTTAGTCTCAGTTATATTTCCGGACAACATTTCGCTCTAAAATAAGTACCCCTTTTCCTATTTGCACACCTTGAACATATCCTTTGTGTCAGTTGAATTAACAATTCCATACCCAACAAATGCATTGCTGACTGATTCTCATCGTAAAATTCTCTTAGACCTGCGCCACTCAAACTTTTGAGGATATAATTCTTCAAATAGAATGAATTTTTGAGATTTTCTAACAAAAACCTTCAATTTATCCAAATGATAAGCATCTGCATAAATTAATCTTTCCATTAGAGGCATCTCAACACAATGGATTAGGTGTGCCTCACATTTTTTACGAAGAAAATCGACTTGGAATCGGTTTGCGAGTTTGAGTAGTTGATAGACATTGTTGGCTATAATTATTGAAATTGAATAGCCTTATTAAGTTATATCAATTGCCCTTCCTGGAATAATTATCTTGATTACCCACTCAGTGGGAGATCGAAACAATAATTGCCTTCCTCAAATGCCTCCCTCAATCAAATAATCTGAGCATTACCTCAAATTAGAGGAGGTAATGCTTTAGTGCCCAGGTTACCCTCTCCCTCAAATGCCCCTCTAATGCCTCCCTCAAATCACCCTTTTAGCCTTCCTCTAGCTGGAGGCTGAAACAATAATTACTCATGGTAGTTATCCAAAAACTATAATGATTATAATTAATTATAGTTTAAATTATAATTAATACAGGTATTATACTCCTATAAATAATATACCTATTCCAGCTTTCCTTAAAATATATTCCTTCCAGAAAAATAAATATGCTTACGATTTGGATGTATTTGCTTTGGCGAAATAGCTTCCAAAAATTGTTTCATTGCTTCAGGACTCGCCTCATCCACCAACACCTCTTTTTGTTGGTGTTCTTCTTCCCTATGTTCCCCTTCCTGTTCGTCCTGTTCAGCATTATTAAACATTTTTTGAAAGACAGGAGAGAGGGACATTAAATAGTGCTTTGAAACGGTGAAGGAATCGGTGCCAACTGTAAGATTAATGCATTCTGATTCATCAACGGGGATATTCCCAAAGCTGGAAGTTAAAGGGAGAAATTTTTAAAGGGAAAAATTCAAAATTATTCCAACTTTTCTAAGCGTTGACGACGTTCTAGCAAGCGTATAAGAACGTAAAAATGCCCGTCGGAAGGGCAATTACTACTGTAATTATTGCCAGTATTAGGCTGGAATTGAACATAACTTTCAGGCTGTTGGAAGCATTTTGCGCCTCTCTGGAATTTTTTGAAAATTTTGAAAATCTTTCCGAGTCTATTTTTACTTGTAAAATCTGTATTTGTTTCCCTCTGTGCCACTGCCAAAAACAAACTTCGGCATCTACAGAAACACAGTGCCAATCCAGCTCTAATAGTGTCAGTCTAAGTATGTGCTGATTATTCTTTGTTATAACGGAGAATTCCCTTAATTAAATTATTATTATTATACATTCCAGAATCATTTAACTTATAATATAACGTTCTAGAATTATAATCTTTATGGATTCTATGCCCATTTAATTCAGAATTTAAGGTAATGTCCAATTATTTCATAGCATCCTACTTTCTCTACCCCTTCTTGTCGATTCGAAATCGAATCAAGACCAAAGATTTTTTAGGGTTCGGATATCAGAAAAATGTTTTGGATGACCAAATAGGTCCTAAAGACAGTCATCATTACAATTTAGTAATCTCATCTACAGAAACACTGATTATTCTTTGTTCTCTCCTTATATTACAAGAATTAAAGAGAAAGGAGAGTTGGAGTTAATCGGAGGATAACGAATTGACTATATTTATAACATGAATTACATAATTGCTCTCCCTCAACCCAGGGTGGTTATTCAAGGATTTTATAAAGCTATTATTATATTATTCCGAAATTATAAAATAATTTCCGGAAAAGTCTACCATTCCTTCCCATCAATCCAAGCACGAGTTGCACTAAAATTAGTCCCACTTGAATAATTGTTATAAGAATTTTGTTGTTGTTGGTGTAAAGTGCCAACATTTACAGAAAGAAATTGTTCACAAACAATGTTGTATTCATCATAAATTGACTCCTGTTCGACTATAGAGTTGCGAGGTTGGCGAGATTTGTAGGAAGAGTTTGTAGTTGAAATTGAAGATGTTGAGCCTGTTCGGGTGCTTCCAGCTGGAATTATTTATGATAAAATTTTTTGACTTAATTATGTATATGATATTTTAATTTGTCAGTCCATATTAACTTTGGAGAGTATTTCCTCTCCGATTAAAATTACGATAAATCCCTGATAGTCTAGACCATGATTTAAACTTGAAAATAAGATTATACACATAGTGGCTAAGTCAGAAAATCCAAAACTTCTATTATTTTTTTCAAAAAAATTTACTTGATGGCAGAGAACTAGTTGCTGTCATATGAGAGAATAATTATTTAAATTATTTATAAAAAATAGATATAATGAAGTATGTAATGAAAAAACGAGAAAATGAAATGATAATTATAAAAACTAAATGATAAAAACCTTACTAGAAATTTTCTGATTTTTACTTCAGTCAGCCGATCAAAATCAATATTAAATTGAGCTAATTTTGTTCAATAAGAGAGAAAAAAGGACTGTCCAGAAAGCAAGGACTGTCCGGAAATAAAATTTTACTAAAAACTTGCTGGTAAGAAAGGCCTGATAAATATCTTTAATACATAAAGGTTTCGAGTTGAACTCTCGACTTGCAAAAATGGCTTAGGTACCCTCACTCTACAGGTTGGGCCAAAAGTAACCGGGCACACTATTTTTGACACAACTCTATTCAACTTTAAGATAATGAGATCAAATAAAGATTAAATGATAGAGAATTAAATAAGGAACAAAAATAATCGGGAATTTTCTTTGATACAGAGTCGATGGCGCATGAAAAATTTTTTTGGCATTTGTACCATATCGAGTGTGTACTTTTGGGTAACCCTGTATTTTAATAATAATTCGATTTTAAAAATTATTACTCACTTGATTTACTTTTTCCAACTATCGGCGACAATAAAAATTTAAAAACACGTACAATCAATGTAAAAATAAATGTTAAGGGTCGGAAAGAAAATATTAGACGTAAAAACGAGAACATTTTTTGAAATTAATTGTTAGTTGATGGAATGAATTTTTTTTGTATAATCTAGATCAAATTTTAAAAATTTCTAAATCAAAAAATTGAAATAAAAACCATTAATTAATTAAATTATTAGTTAAATATGATTTATGTTCGTGCTTAGTAATACCGATAAATACCGAAAAATGCGGATGTAGTCCGTTCTTAGCCAACCAACTCCAAAATTTTTAAATTATTATTTTGAAAATATACAGTAATTTCCCTATTATACGGATTTAATAAATTATATTTTTATTTTTATCAAGAGATTTGTTTCGAAATATTTATGTATTTTCAAAAATTTATTGAAAGCAGAGGTCGATCAGAATTCCGATTTCGAGTTCCGGCTTTTGAGCCATTTCCGATTTCCGACAGTTCCGGTTTCCAACAGTTCCGATTTCCGGCACCTTAGATATTTCCGATCGACCTCTGATGGAAATGTCCAAGAACGATTTTTAAAAATTTTAAAAGAATGGCAGGGATCATAATAAATCCAACTTAACTTTTCTAAATGACCATCTAGAATCTAAGCATGATTAACTCAGTTCTACCCATTAGTTTAATTCCATTTATTAATTTAAACTAGAGCCCGGAATTTCGTACCGTACCGTATTCCGTACCGTACTACCGTATAATACCGATACCGATAAATACCGATGAATTTCAAAATTCTTCCGTACCGTATTACCGATACGGAATACCGAAAAATACCGATACCGATAAATACCGATAAAAATTTATCGGTATTCCGTACCGTATTTTTAAAAATTTAATTTATTAAAAATAATTATTTTCATAAATAAATTTGTAAGGATAAAGTCGTATATTAAGGATTTGCAGGGATTAATATGAATTTGGTGTGATATCTGAGTATTTAGACACAAACCCTCTCGATATATCTGTTAATCCCCTAAATCCATTCTTAATTACTTGCGAAATTTTCGAAAACCAAGAGACATATTTCTTAATTTTTCTGATTTTGAAATTTTGACTTCTCAATCATGAGAATTTGGAAATCCGAGAAGTTGACTTTCATTCTATTATTGCGCCGCAGGCAAAAATTTTGAGAATTTTCAATGGCCAAGGACCCTTTTTTCCCTTAAAATATAATAAAATTTTGAAAAATTTCATCGGTCGGTATCATCGGTATTTTAGTTTTTCCGTACCGTATTACCGATACGGAATACCGAAAAATACCGATACCGAAAAATACCGATAAAATTAAAAATTTTACCGTTCCGTATTCCGTACCGTATTACCGATACGGAATACCGATAAATACCGAAAAATACGGCCGTAGTACGGTACGGTCCGGGCTCTAATTTAAACCTTTTCAAAGGTCAAAGTCGATTTTTACTAAAATAAATAGACAACAATTTTGGCATATAAAAATATAGATGAACCAAAACATTAAAGAAAATGAAAAATAAATAGATAAGGAACGAAAAAAGCGGGGAAAATTTTTTATGTCAATTAATAGTTCTTGTTATGAATTGAAAAAGTTGTGTGGGGCTGCGCCATTGGAAGTAATAAAAATTGATAGAATTTTAGTTCAGGTGGGATACTATATAATTTTATTATTTATGATAACAAGTCAACTTGAAACTTGATCAAGAGATTGGGTCCACCCCAGAAGGTCAAGACCCTGGAGATCAAATGACCCAGGAGGTCAGTTGCACGAGAGTATTTCTGTTCCCCTTAATCTTAATCCCCCATAATCCCAACAGATCCGTCTTAATCTGTCCAAATCCGTCGATATTCTCCTTAATACCCACAAATCCGTATTAATAAGCATAAATCATTCTTATTCCGCCTAAAATTTGTATTTGACTTTTTGGGTAATTTGAACTCATGGTATTGACCTTTTTGGGTCATTTGATCTCCAAGGCCTTGACCCTCTGAATATTGACTTTCTGGGTTGATCCCAAGGGATTTAATCTATTTAAATTTATTAAATATTTTACAGTTAAATTGAAATATTATTAAATTATCAGTGTTATTTTTATAATGGCAGTTATTCTTTAATTATAAAGCAGAGATATTCCAAATTTTAAAGTTGAGATCTAAAATAATAATTATTAATATAATTAATTATATTGCTGGTAAATTAGTTATTATATCCCCATTTTTATTTACTGAATTTGATGGTTACATTGATAAGACCACGAGAATCGTACTATCTCTAAATTTCAAAAACCCACGTAAAATACAAATTAAAGACTAAAATATAAGTAAAGTCTGTTCTGAGTGCAGACGAGAGAGTGATCCGGCCGTACCTTATTATTAAACAAATATTTAATAAATTTCTTACTTTCACGCCTTAAAAATTTCAAACGGAACAGCATCCTCTGCCACAGAAATTCCAAACGCGTCGTAACAATCCTGTCTAGCCTTTTTCGCCTCCAGATTATTAATAGATTTGCATAGTTTATAATCACTGCATATCTCCTTCGCATTGTTAACGATATTTGAAGAAAATATTTTACAGTAAGGCTCTACAGCAGCCATAACAGTATCTTCAGTATACATACAGCACTCTTTAATTGGATGACACATGCATCTTAAATATGACCCATCTAAAAAGATCTTGCAGTAATCAGAATGATCTGTGCTGTTAATGAAAGCTTCACATCTTTCCTTATCAATAGGAAGTGTTTTAATTCTGGTAAGGTTGAAATATAAATCACAATTGCTGGTTACGCCTGCTATAGCAGCAGATACAGCCCCATCACAATACCTGGCGTAGTATTTGTCGTCTTCTAATGTGTTGTTACACTAAGAATTTTTAAAAATAGGGATGGATTTAAAAGGGTTTGTGGTTCTGAATTTGGACTGCGAGTCAACTTCAGATATAAAACTCAATATTCTTAAGGTATCTAGGGATTTGTAAGGCTAAATCTGGATGAATATATGCGGTATAGCCCTTCGTTCTCAAGTATAGTTGCTCACAAGTATAGCTCTCGAAATTCCATCTAGGGTTAGGCTCTCGAAGGTTAGGCTCTCAGTTATGCTAGGGTTAGAAACTCTAGGGTTAGAAACTCAGTTATCTAAATCAGAAGACAAAAGTCCCAATAATCTTTCGTGTGCTAGTTTTTTCTATTCCTCTATATTGGCTAGCCAAGTATAGCTTATTTAATTATTTTAAGAGCTAGATCAAAAATGATATTTTATGTTTTACCAAGTTATGTAGAGTTGCTCTCGTTTTTAAATCAGAAGCTATTTTGATTGTAGCAGTATTTCTAGCAAAGACTATAGTTAATACTATAGAGATTGTGAATAATATAGAAATACGGACAATAAGATTCATAATTAAACTAAAATATTCAGCTAAAATAAAATCTTTAAATTTTTCGGAGAGTTTTTCTTCCTTTCTGGGAGAGAAATTTGAGATAATTTTGTAAGAGTAGAGAAATTAGGCATATACTATTTGTGTCACGAATAAAAATATTAATAAATAATATTCACAAGTACATAATATACATAATTAATGTACGATTTATTTATGCTGATAAGAATCAGCCTTCCAACACTAAACTTATCCCTGCCCACATATTCTTTTTGGGAAAGTAAAGGTAGTTCTTTCTGTTATGATTATTTATGCAAATATGATGCCCTCGTTGACCTTGACCTGATCAAAATAGTGGATAGATCAAAAATAAATATAGTATAATAGTGCTTATGAAATGGTTCTAGCCCATTTTTCTAGTAAGAGATTTCCATAAAATACACGTATTTACAAAATAATTATAGTTATTTGAAAATCATATAATCCCTATCAAGCTAATTAATTATTAATGAAAGTTCAAGTATTCGTCTTAACATGAAGATCAAATCGAATTTTTTATAGAGCAGAATTAGTTCATGATACTTAAAAAGCTAATAAGGAGAGGTGTTCGAAACCTATTGAAAAATCTTTTTTAGAAAAATTAGATTTTTATTTAAAATTTAAGAACAAAACAGTTAGAAAATTAGATTACTAAAGAAAAACAATGATTAGATTATTTAATGAAAAAACAACAAATACTTATCAATCTTGTAGTTAGGTTGAATTGCTTGATTCATCCGTACTGAGACAATCTAGCACCTAAAAACAGAATTATTCATCAGAATAATATTTTTAAAATTTTGAGATTAAAAATAATTAGAATAAACACAATTATTAGATAATCGTATTTTCCGGAAAATGTTTAATTAAAAGAAGAATGTTTTCCGGAAAGTCTAGCAACATGTATTAATGTTTCCGGAAAATACAATATGTTACTATTTTCTGAAATTGTATAGCTATCGCTATATTTTGATAATCCGGAAAATAATTATAATTTCCGGATAATAGGTATAATTAAAAAAGTTAAAATTCTGATTATAAGAATAGTTATTTTCCGGAAAATTATTTCCGGTTATTATTCTGATTATTATTCTATAATAGCTATTATTCTGATTATACCGAATAACTTGATTATATCTAATAATTTTATTATTTATATACCTTATGACAAATATCCTCCATCATTGGAACAGTTAAATTTTGCACATACTTTAAATTTATTAATAAATTCAATCAGATTACTATCAACTCACAATATCCCACCATTCCGTATCCGCCCCCATCTTTGCCTCCCCTTCAGGACCCTCCCCCATTCTGGCCATTTTAAACGACATATAGAGGAGTGCAACAGCAATAACTTCAGGTTCCCATAATAAACAAAGATTGGTAGCTAATGAATCGTTGATAAACGTCCAAGCATTCGTCTGAATTTTAGTGTATTTTGGATTTTTTGGAAATTAAAAATACCACAATTTTGCTCATATAATCTTTATCGAGTTTAAATCCCTTAGCATATTGGACCAAAAAATTGTACTATAAAAAATTTAATTAAAGGAAAAATATTTATAAATTGGAAGGCCTTACAGGATGCTCAACATGAAGATCAAACCGAATTGTTTGTAGTAAAATGCGTTCAAGCAGGATTAATTCATCCTATTCAAAAATAGTTATTTAAAGAGAAATTCGAGATTTAAAAAACCATTAAATTCTTCCCAGCAAATTGTTTCGGATATTTATCTTTAGCAGTTTGGACCAAATCTTTACACTTTTTAGGCGTTTCTTCTACTTTTCCAGCAAGAAAAAGACAGGCTAATCCCATCATCTATTAAAAAATATAATTAACATTTAAATATAAGCATATATTTTAATATAAGCCTTATATTCCGGAAAAGTATACTATTATTTTTCAGAAAAATATTAGTATATTTTCCGGAAGTATTATTATAATTATATTCTTCCGGAAAATTAGTATATACTCCAGAATATTATTAGTTTAATTTCCGGAAATATTATTATTATTGAATCATAATTATGTATATAAAATTATTTTCAGGAAAATAACCATAATTATATAGTAATTTTTCCGGAAATAACCAGAACAAAAATGTTTATCTTCAGAGTTATACTTTTTCCGGAAAACCATTTTCCGAGTATGGAAATATAATTAGAAAATATATTTTCTGAAAATAGGTTTAGTTTTGCGGAGATAATAGACATTCTGAAGGTAATTAAAAATATAATACATATATCTTTTTCGAAAAATAACTGAATTATTATTAACTATGTATGTTATTATTAAATGAAAATAATTAAATAGTTACGTGTGGTGGATAATCAGCAAACGTGTTGAACATGTAAAATCTGTGAAAGAATACACTTGCAGTAGCTAATGTTGGATTTGTTTTTCTGAAAGTTTTTTTTTAGTTTTGAAAATTTAATAATCAACTAACAAATTAATAGCTTTTCCCATTTCTTTAATCATCCTCACACCTTCCCTTCTTAATTTATTTTCTTCTGCCATGGATATACCAGCCTGAACTGAAGGTGTATTTTCCAAATCTTCTGGATTCCAGAGCCAGTGTGTATTTACGCTCATTTCCAATATTTTAAATAAAAACTGAAAATCGTTTAAATTTTTTGGCTGGAAAATTTTTTAGGGCAATTATCGAATAAATTGTTTTGTCTGTTGTAGAGTCTAGACTCTGCGGAGCTGACTAATCCCCCAAAATTTCTTCCTTCCCTCGGCCTTCGTCCATTCATCCCCTTCCCCCCTCCACAACTGCCATGGTCGAGCAACTCTTCAGCAGTTTCAATTCTTCCCCCAATGCTTCCCACTATACTCTACCATCGATTTATATGTGCACATAGCTCACATAGTGTACCAGCGCTTAGCATAGTATAGACCCTACAATTGCCACCCCTTTGTCCGTAATAATTTTTTATTTTTAAATTTATTTACAGACAGATTTTTAATCCATACTTACGAGAATATTATTCGTTTAACTAAATATAGGAAAAAACCGGAAGGCTATAAATAGGCTCAAATAGGCTCTTCCGGATTTATTCCGGTCGTTCTTTTTTTTCAATGGATTTTTTCTTTTGTTAAAAATTAATTTTCAATTTTTCAAAATTTTTCCAAAAATAAAAAATAAAATTTCAAGTATTTTCCTTCCCTTCCCTTATATCCACTCTCCACTGTTGACCATTTTTCCTGCCAGCCGGGCAGCATTCTTGGGCACAGCGCCAACAACTATAGTGCTTTTTTGGCTAACAAAAGGCCATAAATAAGAGGGAATATTACTAAAAATAAATAATCTTAACCTTTCCTTTTTAAAAATTTATTTGCTTAAGGGATCGTTTATCACGTTCTATTTTTATTTATTTGAAAAGCGACTAAAAGTGACACCTGAGATAAAAATAAATTTAAACCCTTAAATATTATTAAATAAAATTCTGGCAGCCAATCTACCCAAGCATTGTCTTTATCCTTCCTTTAAGCATTTGTCCAGCCTAATTCCTCAAATTGTCAACAAGCCTCGAGGGATGAAATAAAAATGAAAATTTAACAAAAAACGGCCACACTCCAAATTGGAATGCTGGGAAAAATTAAAAATGAGAGAGGAGGCTGTATAGTTAATGCATTTGCAGGACCAGCTAATATGTCACCCGCTTCGTATCCATAAATAACAAAGCGTTGGGGACACTCATCTAATTAATAAATATTTTTTCTTTATTTTTATAACAATGTTTGAGACCAAAAATAAAATTAATATTAAATGTATTGTTATATTTGTATAGTGAAAAAAATAACTATAATTTATAATTTTAAATAACTATAATTTATAAATAACTATAATTTCCGAAAGTATAGTTTCCGGATTTATTTCTCTTTTATTTCTCTTCCGGAAAGTTTATTTACCTATAGTTATCTTTGTATTTTCCGGAATTCTATTTTTTACTATTATTATATTTTCCGGAAACTTAATTCTGATTTCTGTTGCGTATTCTATATTTCCGGAATTATAAATATAACTTCCGGAATTATAAATATAACTTCCGGAATTATAATATTCTATATTTCCAGGAATTATACATATTATATTTTTACCGGAAATATATTCATGTTTTTGTTTATTTCTCAGATAATTATCCTGAACTATCTTTTTATTAATACATATTCTATATTCCGGAAAATTTATTCTGATTTTAGTTATACTTACGTTATAAATTTTCCGGAATTTATATGTATCACGTCTAAGAATTTATTTAAATAATTAAAATACAGAATAATTATTTAATATTATCAGCAAATATTTATTAAAATGGAAGCAGCTACTAATACACCTAGTACTAGTAAAGAAAAATTTTCAACAAATAAATTATTAAATTTAAAATATCGGATCAACATTAATTATAATAATAATTTTAATTATTACAAATATTTCCCCAAAATTAAATTAAAATTATTTCAACTAAAAAGGATGCATTTTTGCAAATTATTTGATTATTTTGTGCCTCGATATTTAATTAATGTTTTAATATTTATTTTTATATTTGGCAATAATAAATTTGTGAATGCTTATTCAGACCATGGTTGATAGTTAAAAAAATTTTTGGAATAAAAAATAAAATTTAAAGTCCCACCACCCCCTCGTAATGTCCACGTTACGCAGATGAACAGCTCAACTGTTAAGGTCACTTGGCAGCCTCCTGATGATGAGTCTGCTGAAGTATTTGGATATAATGTTTATAAGGTTTTTGATTTTTATTACGAGGAAATACCTAAATTTATTTTTAAAAGATTTAGGAAAAAAAAGCCAAACTAAAAGCCAAACTAAAATTTTTTAAAAGCCAAACTAAAATTCTTAAATTAATAAAAATGAGGTTTTGGCATTAATCCTTCATTGAGAACAAATTTTGAATATTAAATATTTGCCAATATGTATACAACTTATTACCCATTAGAAGCCCCTTAATGAGACACTGGAGAATAGGAACTTGGGCTTCTAGTTGGATATATACTGTATCTGGTTATAATTTCATGGATTTGAATTTGCAAAAAAATATTCGGAACCGTGAACTATTAAGAGCCTCAATCATAAAATCATAACTAAAATATTTTTTAATGTTATTTAGTTCCAAATTGTGAATGAAGCTTTTGTTAATAATCTACGCAGGGCTATAGCTATTGTTGATCGACATGTAAGCTAATTTGAAAATTTTTTTTAATTTTTGAGTTTATACAATACGTAAATCTCCGAATTTCTGATTTTAAAAATTTGAAAAAATTTTTTTTAAGCCTAAAAATTCAAGAAAAAATTATTTTCAGAAGCTCTACGCTCATTTAAACGACTTGGAGCCTAACACAGAATATGCCATTCGGGTAGCTGCTTTCAACATGAAAGGGGACGGAGAGCTTTCACAATTAACCAAGCAGAGTAGAATATTAACTGGAGGAAAACGTTAATTAAAAATTCAAAAAAATTTTTAAATTAATTTTTAGCTCCTTCCCCACCTCGTCCACAGTCAATTTCACTCGTTTCTGAGCTTAAACCGATCAAGGCTAGAGTTGAATGGCTTCCTCCAAAGTTTATATTTTTTGGATAATAAATTTTTAAGAATTTTCAATTCAGTAATACGTACAATCTGCCTCTAAAAAATTATATTTTGTGGTGGAAGTCAACGCAGAGTGACATGGTTCATAAGGCTCAAGTACCTCCAAATGAATTGTCTTTCATTCTCAATAATTTATGTAATGATTTAATTTGGAAATTTAATTATTAGAAGGGGGATCAATGTATTGAATATTAGATTACTAGAAAAATTCATAGGAATTTTGGGGGAATCTGTCAAAATTACTGCCTCTGAACCAGATTGCCGGACTCCCTATAATTAAAGATATTGGGAATCCATCAAATATCACTCAAAAATAACTACTTATAGTTAGGGTTGTCGGGTCATAGAAAATCTGATCAAGAACTTAATCAAAGGACCATACGAAAAAATCCTTGAGTATTGGTTTCGTTCCTAACCGGCAGCCCTACGGATAATAAATTGCCTGGATTAACTAGATTACATGGAAAAAGAGTGTCCCAATTTTCAATATTACCTTTAATAAATTCTGAGATCATCGGAAAATTTTTGAAATCATTGGAAAATTTCTAGAATTTTTTCCCCTTTAGATAATGGCCAAGAATACCAGCTATATATTGCAGCTGTGAACGAAGTCGGCGCTAGCGAGAATGCCACTGAACAATTAATTACACCTACTGGAATACCCGATGCTGAACCCTTAAATATTCGCTATACAATATTCAGAAACAAGCTTTCAATACTTTGGGATCCTCCTCCTTGGCCTAATCGGAATGGAAATATAACTCATTATGAGGTTGATCTGATTCAGCTTAACAGTGCTACAGCTAATTCCATTAAAAGAAATGTTAGTTAATAAAATTTTATAATATTAAGCTTTTATTAGAAGCATGCTAAAGTTAGAAACATGCCTCAGTCTTAGAGAAGCATGTTTCAATTAAGACATTCTTCTCTTTGTAGAAGCATGCTTCAGTTTTAAGAATCATGCTTCAGTTTAATAAAAACGTGCTTAAGGCTTATAGAAGCATGGTCCAGTAGTTCTTAGAATTTAGAAGTTTTTTCGAGGTTCAACTTTCTCAGTCCTATAGAAGCTTGCTTTTAGAAACATGCTTCAGTCTTAAGAAGCATGCTTCAGTTTAAATAAAAACGTGCTTCAGATTTATAGAAGCATGGTTCAATTTAAAACTCAGTCCCGTAGAAGCATGCCTTAGTTTAATGATGTTTCAGGCTTATAGAAGCATGCTTCATATTACTGTCCTAAATGCTACAAGTTTATGAAGCACACTTTCTAAAAAAACACTTAATATGAATATTTAGGTATCCTCACAAACTGCCATCTTTGATATAGACCCCTCACAAAATTATGCTTTTCGAGTTGCAGCTGCTACAAGTAAAGGAACCAGTAATCGTGTTGCAGAGCTTAGGATTGATGCTCACAATGGAGGTAATATTTTTTAATTTATTTTTGATAGCCGTTTAAAGCTAATGTCCTTTTCAAGAATATTCTAAAAATATTTAACCTCTTATTTTTGTATAAGCTCTCCCTGTGAGGCATACTTCGCCTATTCTCTCATTTCATACTGTACTTCATTCAGAAATTTATTTTCTTAATTATCTATTCCGATCCACATCCTTCTATTAATCTAATAATTTTTTAATTTAAAAAATTATTCGAAAATTGGATTTCTTTTCTAAAAAAATTTTTTTTGTCCTCTCTCAACAAGTCCCTCAAACTTTAAAACAAAAAAACTGAATAAACCCTCCAATATATTAGCATATATTTATTTTTTTTAAAGTTTATTGCCTCACTTTTGCATTATTATTTTGCCTTCTCATTTCCTTTCCTCTCCAAAAAATGTCCAGGCAACCACACACCACTTGCAGCACTCCACGGCATGCGCTTCACCCCTCTAATAAAACTCTCCCCCATTTTTTATATTTTTGTCAACATTGAAAATAAATGTGCCCCGCAGAGCTTTATAGAAAGATTAAATTCCCGTATATACTCTCAGATTTCTTTTTTAGCTTTTTTTATAAAATACCAAACCCAACTACATATTGCTTTAAATTGTTGTTTTTGTGCACTTTTGAGAAAAAATTGCATGAGAATATGTATTTTTTAAAAAAAGTTTCAGAACACATATTTTAACAAAAACACAATAGTTCCTATTAGAAAATGCTTCATGTTTTATTATATAAATTCTGAAAAATATTCTGAAAATATTCTGAAAAAATTCTGAAAAAATCAGAATTATAAAATTTAGAGTTCTGATTTATAAAAGAATTCTGTTTGATAAAAATTCAAAGTTATATTCAGAATTCTGATTATATATTTATAATTTTATAAAATTCTGTTTATAATAATTCTATTCAGAATTCTGATTAGGGATTGTTTATAATTTTTTAGAATTCTGTTTTATAATAATTCAATGTTTTTTTTCAGAATTCTGATTTATCTGAAATAACCCACAAATTAAAATTTCAGAGTTCTGGTTTTATTCTAATTTCTATTAATTTAATTTCTGTCAATTATAATTTCTGGTTTAACCATAATAAATAAAACTTGGAAAAAATAACTCTAAAATAACTCTCAATTTAATTATACGTGTTTATTATTTTCTGATTCTTTTCAAGTTTTCAAGTTTATTTTTAACCTCCCGGAAAAACTTGAAAATTAAATATTCTATGTAGTAAAACTTGGAAAAAATAGTATAAACTTTTGGGAAAAATAAACTTGGCAGGTAACAAAAAATAAAACTTGACAGACAATGCAGCCAACTTTTTTAGATTAGAGAAGCAGGCGGAAATATTAATGCTCTACCCTAAAAGCTTTTTATAGCCCTACAAGTAAATAGCTTTTTTATCTTCTTTTTTGGCTATGGTCCACCTGCATTAAACAAAACAATAAAAATAATAATAGATAAAAAGTTGGCTGGAATTTACAGCAATTTTTCACAATGGTTGAGTACCTAAAATTTCGTTTTTTTGTTATTTTTGTTTTTATTTTTAAATAATTTTTAACAATAATTTGTTTTCATAGCTCTAAAATATCAATAATTTCCATTGAAAATTTTTTTAAAAATATTTTATGATCCCTGCTATTTTCCAAATTCTTCAATCTTCACATACTACCTCATCCAAACGACTTTCAATGTCCTCAAGTGATTCCTCTTCTAATTCTGCTCCTTCCAGCTCCTTCACCCCACAAAATAACCCATTATCTCTCCCCTCTTCATCCAAAAATTCTACCTCTTCCTTAAAAAACACCAAAACTGAACAAGAAACTGATAAAAATAACTACAATCAAGAGCCATTATCACCAGAATTGTGTAAATATAAATTGCTTTTGCGATTCGAGGATTTGGTAAATAAACTGGCTGCCGGATGGAAATATCACGTGGCTAATACGGAGGGCGTTAAGGAGTCTTGGAGCCGTTTCGAGCATTTCTATTTGGATTTATGCTCGTATACTGAAGGTTAGATAATAAAAAGTTGCAACAAAAATAATTAATATTTTTTTATTCTTCTAAAAATAACTCTGAAAAATAACTCTATTTTTAAATTATATTATTTTCTTATTATTATTCTGATTATTATTTATCTTTATTTACTGATTCTTTGGAATATTCTCTTTTATTTCTGGAAATAATAACTCTAAATATTATCTATACTTTCCGGAAAAGTATATTAATTCTGATTCTTCCGGAATAATCAGAATTATATTTTCATATTTTATATTATTCTGATGCTCCGGAATTCTGATTCTTCGGAATAATATTTCCATTATAATTTATTTCCGGAAAAATAAATTCTGATTCTTCCGGAATAGTCAGAATTATCCTACTTATACTAATAATATTTTATTATTATTTCTGATGCTATAAACATTATTTATTCCTCTAAAACTTCCCTATTTTTGCTTCAAATTATTTCAAATGCTTATTCGTTCATATGGAAATTCTGTTTTTAAAAACGGAGGAAAAACATTAATATAAAGCTATAAACTTTAAGTACATAAACACTTTTACTGCCATTATTATTATTATTTTTATTCTTTCCTTACTTTTGCTCATCAACCGGAAGAAAAATTGAGGGAATAAAATGCGTGGGAATATTTCAAACTATTTATTATGTATAATTTTGGGATTTTTAGATTTTTTTTTGTATTTTTACATGAAAATCTGTTAGCAATTTGCTTAGAAGCAGGCTTTATGGTTGCTTTTTGTTCGGGTTTTCTATAATTTTTTTCTTATTTTTTTTAATATGAGGGAACATTTTTTCGAATTTTCTGCCCCTAATTTTATTGAATTTTTAAAATTTTTACTATTTATTATTATTTCGTTTTCCTCCATTTCCTCTGTCAATTTACATCCCAAAAACATCCCTCCATTTTTATAAGAGGGCAGGATAAAGGGTCATCGCTTCTGGCATTCTTTTTTTCCTCGAATGTCCTCAGCTTTACATAAAATGAATTTTTTTAGCTCTTCTTTCCATTTTTCTTATCGCGCTAAGAGCACGAAAAGGCTAAAAAATAAAATAAAAAAAGCCTCCCTCGGGGTAGGATTTGCAATAAAAAAAATTTCCTTTCATGTCTCTTACCACCCATTTATCTAACTCAAAAAACTTGATGGAAATTAATTTTGTTTTGTGTTGCAAAACTTATTTTTAGATTTTTTTTGTTCTTTGGCAACATCCAAAAACGTAGTTTACTAAAAATACTTTTTTTTAAATTTTTTTTTACGGATTTTTAGTTCTAAATTAAATTCAAATATTTCCTTGATTACTTAACAAAATTAATGTAAGATGGAGGTATAAGTCAAGCCTAGGGCAGGAACCTATCTTGCGAACTACTGGCAGTTATTTCTAGGCTAAGAGCTTCCGCTCACCACGTTCTCGCACACTGAGTGAATGATCGGATCGCTTATCTTCTCATTTAATAAACAGATCTTATAGCCCCGCCTATAAAGCGTTTTAGGCGATCTTCTTAATTCCCTTTTCTTATATCTCCTTCTACCTCCTTCTCCTACATCTTCTTCTCCTTCATCTATAATCACCTATAAATTAAAGTCTCTTAAGATATCGATATTCACATATATTAATAAAAAGTGTCAATTATCAACAAAACTAAAATTTTCAACATCCATTCTTCTGTAGATTTTATCATTAATTAATCAAAAATGATAGAAACTGAACACAGAAAATTCATGGGAAGAACATTTAACTCTAGAAATTCACAGAAAAACCATCAAAATATGAAAACACGTAGTAGCAGCAATAATAATTTAAACACTCTCGACCAATTTTTTAATTTAGAGCATCGACTTTGGAACAAAGGTTCGGAAAGGAAAAAAATTTTTGGGGAAGTAAAATTTTTTTGTTAAAAAATTTTTTTCCTCTTTTACTAAAACATCTCTCTCTCTCAAAGCTCTCTCTCTCTCTTTTGTTATCCAATTAAGAAGCTAATAAATATGATTAACTTCCCCATAGTGAAATATTTAATTTTTTATGGCCAATGCACTCACTTATCTCCCCTGGAAATTTTTTAAAAAATATTTAAAATTATTTCCTGAGAGTAAAGGGCAAAATATTGTAGCAAAAACAACCAATTTAAACATGAAGCACTTACTAAAATATTAAAAATAAAATAAGTAAGCTTTTTCAAAGCTCACTCACTCACATTTTAAATTCCGCCACCTTTTCCCATTTCACCTTGGCCCTTTGTTATGGCCATAAAATATAATAGTATATTTGTCCTACTTTTTGCTTCATTGCACGTATATTTCTTTCAATTTGCTTCATTTTTCTTTATTATAGTTATAAGTATAATTACTATCTTATATTGATTCAAATCCGGAAAATTATACAAGAACGGTATAATTAAAATTCCGGAAAATGTATAGCTTCCGGAAATTATTATATCAACTTACTATATAATATTCATGAAACTATTATATTTCCGGAAAGTATTTATAGATACAAAGATTTCTTTTCCGGAATAGTTCTATAAATTAGAGTTATATTCTTCCGGAAAGTTATATTCTTATATTAAAGTTATATTCTTATTACTATATTCTTCCGGAAAGTTATATTCCTTAATATTCCGTTAATTATGCTATTATTTTTCCGGAGAATATTCTTTTGCTAACCGGAAAATTATACTATTGTTTATCGGGAGAATAATTATATTTTTTTCCGGAAAAATATTTTATTTTTTCCCAAGAAATTATTTTCCAGAATTCTCTTTATTCTAATTGATTAATATTATGTACCTGTAGCTCATCTATTAATCCAATAATGATTCCTCTTGAAAATTTTGCCTCCCAAAAAAGTGTATTAACTGCGGTTATTGAATCGCTTCTTAAAATGGACATTAGCGAAAACGAATGGCGTAAGGCCTTAAAAACAGGTTTTGGAAAATATTTTCCCTATAAGATGAATCAAAAAGTAAAAAAATTTCCCTTCAGCTGCCATCCAACCCCCACAAAATGTTCGAATCCAAACAATCTCTGAAACTTCCGTTGTTATTCAATGGGATTTTGATGACTCTGTTGATAGTAGTGAAGCTGGACAACCTGATGGTTTTCTGGTTAAATACGTGCCAGAACCTATGGTGGCTCGTGAAACTGCCGGAATGGATAAATGGCGTAGTCAGCCTGTTATGGACCCCAAAGCACGGCATTTAGAGATTGGAAGGTGGAAATAAAAATTTTTTAAAATCTAAAAAAATTCTAAAGATTGATAACCTCAAAGTCATACTCCTTTTGTGTGTTGGCCATGAAGCAAAGAGTAAGTCTGACCAATTTTTAAGCCTTAATCATTCAAAAATTAAAGCGTCTTGGCCCTTGTTCTGACCCTCCCGTCACTCTAATTGGTCCTCTACGTCCTACCCATGTAGTACAAAACCTTCGTTTGGACTACAAAACTAGCCAGTCTGTCCAAATCCGCTGGGACTTTGATCCACTTGCTTCGACTTCTCAAAAAATTGGATTTTATTTGAAACAAATGGGCCAGAAGAGCTACTTGGATCAAGATTTGGTAGAAAAATCAATGGTTTCGCCTCAATTTGAAAAGAGAGTGAATGGATCCGAAAGGCAATTATTTTTGGCAAATCTAAGGCCTTATATGAATTATACATTACAATGTGAGGACTTTTAAAAATTTTTGGAAAGCTAAGAAAATTCTTTTAGTGGGTGTTTACTCGCTCGAAGATGGACGGCATTATTGGCCTAGAGAATTGCAAGTACAAACCGACCCTAGAGGACCTCCTTTTGTGGAGGCTCCAGAATTTATCCAATCTGATGGACCGCATACTGCACAGTTCCGGCTAAGTCCGGCAAGGTTAGAAGATAAATAAAAATCCAATGAATTCCCCTTTTCTCTCATTTCCAGTGAGGAGTACGGTATTATCAGTCATTACTGGTTGATAGTTATACCAGCAAATAACAACCGCTCCAAGGAAGCTGTAACTTCTGCTGATAAAGGCCAACTTCAGATTGCAACACGAGACTTTAGGTGGGATATCAAACCTCCCTTTATTCAAAAATCTACCTCTTATCCCCTTTAGAACAGCTAGAACTGCTCAATTACAACAACTGACAATAAGTAAGCGTATAGTAATACCAGAATTTTTATTACAAAAATAATTTTAGCAGCAAGAAATTCTGAACAACAACAGCAACACAGGCATAAACGTCATGAAGTCTCCTACGTTCATTTTCGACAGCAACATCCTCATAGAAAAAGACGGCATCAACATATTAATGACAAAGTTGAACTTAAACCTCTCGATGGTGTTTATATTGCAGCGCAGATTTCTTCAAGTGAAATGCAACGTTTATATCGAGATGAATTGACTTTTACACTTGGGGATGGGCTGGTTTGAATAGAATTTAATTATGATCATAATAAGACTGTATAATTATTAGGAATACGAAGGCTTCACAAACTTCCCGCTTGATCCACACGTTAAAATTTATCAGTTAATGAGTCGAGCATTTGCTAGGGACGAGCATTGGAAGCGTGCTTCTGATCAGCCGGTTTAAATTTAGCAATATTACTCAGAAAACTAAAATATTTTAGAGTGATCATCGTCCGCCTTTACAAGAACCACAGTCAAAATTGTATACAGACTCGGCACTAAGTGATCCCTTTGAAACTCGAGTTCCTTCTTTGTTTACAGGAGGAGGGTCTATTCGAGGTGGAGGAATTATGTTTCCTCTCTTAGCGGTGACTTTAAAATTTCTCTCCCTTAATATTACTCTATAATCAGGCGGGTATCACCTTCTTTGTGATAGCCGTACTCGTTGGAATGCTCTTGCTATGGTGGCTTAGATGCAAGAGGAACACTAATGCTACTAGATCCTCTACAAATTCCATCCATAAAACACCCCTAAGTTCGCGTGATTTACCCGCAAAGGCTAATGGACATGGAACTAACGGTGTTTTGCCTACTGAAACTAATAAATTACTGTTGGGAATGGATCAGGTTCAAGAATCATTTTTTAAGTTAAATATTTTTTGTAAAAGGATGGGCGTCCTGTATTAAACTCCTATGACCATTCCGCTATTGCTGGCAACGTAGAAATTGGTTGCGATGATATATCTCCGGATGGAGCGGTGCTTTATCCAGGCGAATGCCTTAGACAACCACCTGCCTTAATTTCTTCTACAGGTGAGAGAGAGAATTTAAACTGGGAGACTAGTGATGAGGAGAGTGTGACAGCTTCTGAGCCGTCAAAGAGCCAGAATTAATTAAAAATTATATGGTTTCGGGGATTCCAGAAAAGCCGGAGCCACAAGTTTTAAGTATCCGGAGCTAACTAGCTTTTTCAATTCCCCGTGGTCTTGGCTATAACCCAATAAGTATGTTTGGATTTTGGATGTCTCGACCCCCAAAATTTTGCCTATGAATCAACACGCATCTGATCTAAGCCGTCAATCTCTCATTTTTCTAGGTATTTCTCCAAACACAATAAGAGATTCTTCTAATATTTATGGAGGATTAACAACGATTGGAAATGCTCATTTATCCCTTTCACAGCAACGTAGTCCAAATACAAACGCAATAATTCCTATACCGTTAACCGAATTCGCAACTCATATAGAACGACAAAAAATTAATAATAATAGAGGGTTTATACAGGAATTTGAAAGTATTGATACCGGGCAACATTTTACTTGGGAAAATTCTACAATGGAGGTTAATAGGCACAAAAATCGGTAAAATTCGGAAGAAATCTGTTGAATATAATTTAATATTTGAGCTATGCTAACGTTGTGGCTTATGACCATTCGAGGGTAATTCTGCCTCCAGAGGATGATGAGGATGGTTGTCTGGAGCAACTACCGGGCAGTGATTATATTAATGCAAATTATATTGATGGGTAAATTTTTTAATAGAATACGGCTGGAGATAGCTTTAAGATACTCCTAGAATCGGCTATCCTTAGACTTTTTTAGTTTTGTTAGTAGATAGTGGGTGAAGGGTGGTAAGAGATAACCAAACGATAACACTACATTATATCATTTTTTTACCTCCAAGCTTATATCCTTTGATGAGTTCCGTTTTGTGGGAGGGGAATAGAGGGACCTACCCAACCTATAACACTAAAGTCAACTTTCAGTTATGACAGACCAAAGGCATACATAGCTACTCAAGGCCCTCTACCTGAAACTTTTGCTGATTTTTGGAGGATGGTTTGGGATGAGAGATCTTACACAATTGTTGTCCTGACGCGATTAGAAGAGCGATCTAGATCAAAATGTGACCAATACTGGCCTAGTAGAGGGTCTTCTCTTTATGGCAGTTACAAAGTCACTTTGATGGAGACATCAGAATTGGCTCATTACTGTATCAGAACGTTGAGATTAGAAAATACGAGGCACAGGAATGAGCCTGGAAGAGATATTCAACATTGTCAGTTCACTGCTTGGCCAGATCATGGAGTGCCAATACACCCTACTCCTTTCTTAATGTTCCTTAAAAGAGTGAAGGCACTTAATCCGATGCAAGCTGGACCTATTATAACGCATTGCAGGTGATTATGATTAAAAATAAATTATATAACCGATCCTATGTATCAAAAATTAGTGCTGGGATTGGCCGTACCGGCGCCTTTATAGTCATTGACTTTCAACTTGATCGGTTGCGCTATGAGAATTCCTTGGATGTCTATGGCTGTGTTAGAGCTATTAGATCTCAACGGCAATATATGGTTCAAACAGATGATCAATACATCTTTATACATGATGCTTTGCTTGATGCAGCCCAATCGGGGTCTACAGAAATACCAAATTCTAAGCTGTAAATCCCATCCCTCTTTTAAATTTTTAAAATTCCAATTTAAGCCTTCAACATGTCCAGACCCTTTCAAGGCCCCAATTGCATAGTGAATACACTGGAATTGACATTGAATTTAATGTAGGAATATTTCGAAAAAAACATTTTCCCGCTAAAAAATTTTTTTAAGACATTAATGTCTCTGAGGGTGCCAAAATGCTATCGTGCTACAGTAGCCAATGCAACTTACAATATTAATAAAAATGTTAAATTGACGGTTGTTCCGTGGGACTTTAACCGTGTTGAGCTGCCTAGACAGTTTCCGAAATCTGTTATTGATAACAATGGAAATGGGGACGATGAAGGGGAGTATATTAATGCTTCATGGATTGATGGATATAGGTCTGTGGAGATTAAATATTTAAAAAATGGGATTTGGCCGTGATTTTATGGGTGTAATAGGGATCTGGTGGGAGATCGGTGGATGTGGCGGGATTGGGTATCTATTGATGGGTTGGAGGGATATCTTAATCCCTAAACACCTATCTCACCTTTACCCTCACAATTTTTCGACATCCCTCTCAATCCGCCAAATCGCCTTATATCCTTCATAACCCCTAAATCGGAAGAACAGGATTAGAAGAATTTTCAGCAAGGCTTTTATCTTTCTAGATCTAGACGTTCCTATATAGCCACCCAGCTTCCCATGGCTAACACCGTAGCTGACTTCTGGCGCATGCTTTGGATTCATGAATGTTGTAAGTTTACTTAATATGAATCTTTATCCCAAACAAAAAAATTTTTTTAAAGCAATCGTGGCAATGCTAGTAAAACAACCTAACGAACAAGGCGAACGTTTCTTCGAGTATTGGCCAAGTCCAGGATATCCAGAAAACTATAATGGGTTAAACGTCGATTTTGTATCAGAATTTGACATGGGGCATTACTGGCTACGCGAATTTAAAGTGACTGACGAAGCGCATCACTCAAGGACCATTCGTCAGTTTCAGTTCATTGATTGGGCTGTCGATTGTCATGGAAGAGCGATTGGGGATGTACCCCTAAACTCTGAAAGATTTGTTGATTTTGTACGTCAACTGCATCAAACAAAACAACAGTTTGGTTCGGTCGGTCCTATCTGCGTTCATTGCCTGGATGGGGCAGGGCGGACAGGGACTTTCATTGCTGTCTCTTTGATTGTTTGCAGGTGACTTTAAAAACGAGGGGGATTATAATGAGGAGAGGAGATGTAGGGAGCCTATAGGGGGTAAAGAGGGGGGGGGGAGGGATCTTATAGAAGGGGCTTATTAAGAGGAGAAGAAAGGGAGGGAGGGAGATAAATGAGAAAAGTTTACACCAAGCTTTTGAGCCGTATCCAGACATAACTCCATCGAGCGGTGCCAGATGGTAGAACTCCTTTTAAAATTTTCTAACTTAAAAAATATTTTTAAGGGCTCAACTTGAACATGTTGTTGACCTCTTCACAACTGTAAAACTTTTAAGAATGCAAAGGCCAAATATGGTAGAAACTAGGGAACAGTATGAATTTTGTTATAGAGCAGCAATTGACTTTCTCTCCTCTTGGGAGGAAGGATGTTGAATTAAAAAAACAGCTGAGATTACGTCCGGTGAACAACCAAAAAAACACGATAATTAGTGAGAGAGGCAAAACTATTAAATACTAATCCCTTCAATTTTTTTTGAATTCTATTTGGGTTATTCTCTTCCTTCCTCAAGTGCCTCTGTTCAAAAAAATTACAAAAAAATTACAAAAAAATTTTTTTAAATTCACCTTTCGATTTTAATGTCTTCTGTTAACTATTTAATTAATAACTTTTGTTAATGATCTCAAATACATTTAATTTTTTAATTTTCTATAATTTTAATTTTTGATCATGAAACATATCCAATGATAAAATTTATAAATAATTTTGAAGGATATACATATTAATTTTATATTACGGGTGCTCTACCATTAATTAGTCCATGTAACACTAGCAAGATTCTGTGACTCTACCTCTGAGTAGTTGCTTTGCTCTACCTCTAAGCTTTTGCCCTCATTCTACCACCGAGTCGAGAGACAATCAGGGCAAAAATCTTAGCACATTTAACCCCAGCCTAGGCATTTAAAAAATTATACATATCGTCCTTCGAGCTGTAACGGATTGTATAGGGTAGAGGTGGATTGTTAAGGGTAAATAACACTAGCTAGGTTCTGTGGCTCTACCCCCGAGTTGTTGCTTTGCTCCATCTTCAAGCTGTTGCCCTCGTTCTACCACCGAGCCGAGAAACAATCAGGGAAAAACCTTAGCTAAATAAACCCCACTTAAGGAATTTTATAAATGCTTAGTTGAATCATGCATGCCATATTTCATTTCATAGCTCAAATTTTTTAACAAAATTAATTCAATTTTGATCCCCCAACTTTTTCCCTTCCTCCTACAAATTTGACCCAATTTGGCTGCCCTTCTTAACTAATCAACAAAAATTACTAGCACATCCATCTCCCACCTGTCCATTTATTTACGTCTCAAGGCCAGCTGCCTATTAGAGCTTCCTATCAAAAATTTTTTAAAAAGAATTCTTTGTTTATTAGTCGGTTTTGCTTAAAAAATGTTTGCGCAATTTTCATGGAGAAAAAAATAAGGGTATTAAAAGTAGAGTAGGGTAGAGACTGAATATCCCTCTCATCATTAAAATTGCGTGAAAGGGAGGTCATTTATAGCTATTTTGTTTTTTTTTGTTTTAAAACCAAAAAAAGGTTGTCAGCTTTTCGCTCCAGTCATTTTTAAATTTTCAACTAAAAATTTGGAAAAATGACTTTAAAATTAATTAAAAATAAAAAATTGGTTAGGCAATCCAGCAACTATTTTAATATAAACTTTATTTATTTTTATTTGTTAATTTTATTTTTGCCAACCTTAAATTCTGTTAATGAGGATAATTCATCGGCTGTGGTTACTCGGAAAATTTTGCATAAGAATGGAATTAAGGGTAATAATTTATTAAATTATTGCTTCCGGAAAAGTATTATTAAAATTAGTAAGTATATGTATTTTCCGGAAAAACATAGTAGTTATGGCTATTTCCGTATTTATATTTCCGGAATAGATTTAGTTTTGTAGTTATTCCGTATAAACTTTAAAATTTCCGGAAAATTTATATAATATTATATTATATTTAATATTACTTATAGTTTCCGGAAAGAGTAATATTTTACTTCCGGAAGGTACTATAGAGCTATTTACCATATTTATATTTCCGGAATAATTAAATTTAAGGAATAATTTATGGAAAATTTATTATTTTAATATTATTTTTAGTATTAATATAAATTTCCGGAAAATATATTTTACTTCCTGAAAATTATAGAATAGGTTCTGATTTTATAATTACTGGATGAATTAAACATTCCTGGATAAATAATTCCAGAAAAAACGATTGAGAATTTTCTCAATTTCAGAATTTGCGGTCCAGAAACGCATCAAAGACTTTGACTGTGCTTGTTTCTGCCTATGTTCCTTGCCTAATTCCTCTGAAGCAAATGCCCAGTTGGTGAAAATGATGCCAAATGGAAACTTTAGTGAACTAATTGGGCCAATATTCGGAAAAAGTTTTAAAATTCCTTATTTAATTTAATCTAATTATTTTTTAAGCTTTTTCTATCGACAAGGATATTAGAGGAAATCACTGTAAATGTTCCTGTGCTTGTAATAATTTGGAAAAAGGACTATCTAAAATTGAAGAAAGAAAAAATATAGAGGAGAATGTGCCGTTTTCAAATGATAATGAGACTAAAATGAGCGAAACATCAGCTACATTAAGAGATAATACCGAAGCAAGTAGCTTCGGTAGCGAGAAGACTACTGAACTTGCTTCGACAACAGTAACAATAACTAAAATTACCAATGAGTTTAATGATAATGGAACAGAATTAACTCATGATAATGATAAAAATAAGCTAAAAAGTGGGGAACTAACTTTAGTAAGTAATACTGAAGCAACTGAAACAACCAAGGGAAATGTTGAAGCAAATGGAGCAAGCACTGAAGGAAGTAAAGGATTAACTGAAGCAAAAGATTCAGGCAAAGAAACTTCAGTAACAGGTATTGAAGCATTAGAATCTGGCACTGAATCAAATAATGAAGCAAATGAAACTGCTAAAACTGATACAGAACTGTTGAAATCAAGTTCTGAAGCAAGCAGTGAAGCTAAAGAAGCTATGGAAACCAGTACAGAAATGTTAAAATCAAGTTCTGAAGCAATTACAGAGGAACCCAGTGAAACTAAAAGAACTGATACAAGTGTAGCAACTATTGAAGTAATTGAATCAAGCAGAAATACTGTGACAAGTACAGTCAATGCAATCACAGATGAACTTGAAGCAATTACTAGAATGATTGAGACGAGTACTAGAACAAATGAAGCAAATGAATTAAACGAAATAAGTATAAGTTCAACTGAAGCAAGCATAGAAATTAATGAATCTCTGAAGCAAGCAACTGAAGCAAGCATTGAAGAAATTAAAGGAAGCAAAATAATAGTTGAAGCAATTACAGAAAGGGCCGAAACAACAGATAAATCTATAGAAGAAAGTAAGAATACTAATGAAACAGCTAATGAAGCGACTAATCCTAGTAGTGAATCAGTCGTAATGATCAAAGGAACCACTGAAGTGCCTGGAGTGAATAATAGAACTGTTGTTACAAGTGCTGAAACAATCCAAACAAATAAAGAACCGGTTGAAGCAGATACCACAAATGAAGCACAGACTGAAGCAGCTCAAACAAGCATTAGAACAACTGAACGAGCTAATGAGACCGTTGAAACAAGAGATGAAACACTTGAAGCAAGTACCGAGGCAGCTAAAATAACTAGTTTGTTGTATGAAGCAAGAACTAAGATATCTGAAACAAACAAAGAACAAGTTGAGAAGCTTAATAAAGAAGAAGCAAAATTGAAATTTGAACAGCAAGTTCCAAAATTTATAACCACACCGTTAGCAACAAATTTAGTTTCAAACTCGGAAGAAGCTGAAACTGAAGCTAATAATGAAAGACCTTCTAAGGATGATAATAAATTCAAGAATAATGAGGAATTAAAGGACCAAAACAATGAAGAAGCAACACTAAAAACGGATGATCATCTAAAACCGATAAAAAATGGCAACGATAATCTTTTTGGTCAGACGTTTCCACCTGAGTTTAAAGCAAAAGTGGCTAATCTGCTTAATAGACTTAAGGAGCAATTGATGCAATTAAGACAAATTGAAGCTGAAACATCGGAAAAGGGGGAAAATGAAGGGAGAGATGAAGCAGGAGAGAAAAAATCGAGTAAATTTGATAGAAGAACAGAAGAATTGCTTTATCAGGTAACATCTATGGGATGCTTAAAATTTTATATCTGTTTATTATAAGGTAGATCAACAAGTATCGAGTATTATTAAAGAAAATTGGGGTGAACCAATGAAGAGTAATCCGAAATATAAAAATCAACTAGAGACAATCAGTCCATCCCTAGAGGATACTAAAGCTTCTAGTTCAGCTTCATATTCATCTATTTCCTCAACAACTTCTTCCTCATCTACTTCCTTATCATCTTTACTACATTCTTCCACTGTTCCATCATCATTTTCATCATCCCCTTCATCACAATTAACTTCAACCTCATCTTCTTCATCCTTAACATCATTTTCATTGTCATCTCACACTTCAACACCGCCCTCCTCTTCAACACCATCTTCTTCCACTCCCACTACACCCAAAACTTCCCAACATCCTTTCACTCTTCCATCATTACTTTCATTATTCGAATCATCCCAATTAGATTCAGATTCCTCTTCAACTATACTAAATACTCCCATAACATCTTCAACATCTTCATCCTCAACTCCATCATCTTCCATGCCTGCCTCCGCTTCCCATAAACCTACTTTATTTACAACATCTAACCCTTCATTCAATTCTTCCACATCTTTCCATGCATCATCATCTTCTTCGACTTCTTCGACATTGCCCCCTTCAACATCCACCTTATCATCTTCCCCGGTGTCTCTTTCAACAAATCCTACTTCATCACCATCCTATCCCTCATCTTCAACTTCCACAATACAATCTACAACATCCTACCTTCCTCAACTTAACTCTACAAGCTCTTCGCTAAATTCATCCAGTTCATCATTAAAACAAATTTTAAACCAAACCCACTCATTAAAAGAACAAAAAACAAATTCTACAGAATCCATCTCCCCTGCATTTAAAGCTAGATTAGCAAATTTGTTAAATCGGCTTAAAGAACAATTATTCAGATTTCGGGAATTTCAGCAACGCCAACAATTATTGCTTGGGTTACCGAATAATACTAATAATAAGGGTAATATTAAGGAATAATTAAGTAAAATAAGTATTTTTAAAAATAGTAACCGAAACTAGAAACGAATCTTACGGAGCTTCAATTGAAAGGAGTATTATTAATATTGAAAATGCTACAGAAACTGCTTCAATAATAGTAATTAAATTAATTTAAATAAATATTCTGGTTGAAATTTATTGAAAGTATGAGATTCTGATTTCCTAAATTCCGAATTTTTGTTCTGATCATAGTTCTTAATTTATTACTATTCTGATCAATTCTGAATGCAAAAGGTTAATCGGCGGCTGGGTGGAAGCCAGCCTCTTCAGTAGACCGGACTGATGTGTTATCCATAACCACGCCGCCTACTGCATAGCCTTAAAAATTAAATAGCCTTAGGCATGGCCTTAGAAATTACATTATTTCGATCACCACTGATTTTTGGTATTCTGATAGTAGTTCTTATTTTTATTACCCTTATTATAGTTATGATTTTTTATTATTATGATCAGTTCTGATTTTTATTTTTCTGTTAACTAAAATATTCTGAAGAGCTAATTAAGTAAATTATAGCCTAAATTCTTGTATAATCTCATAATTCAGAATCTTATAATTTAAATAGACTTAAATCAGAATCTTAAAAATTTTAGCAGACTGAAACTGAAGCAAACGAGGAGGATTCTTTTGCGTTTGTTACTGAATCATCTATTATAGATGAAGGTTTTTAAATTTCACTTAAAATTTTTAATAATTATTTTAAAGCTACAGTATCCTCTCTCTCACCTTCATCCACTAATGAGTTGACTGAGTCTCCCTCCTACTCTTCCTCCCATACAACAACGGTTAAAACAACAACTGAGGCAACAACTGAAGCAGGAACTGAGGCAACAATTGAGCCAACAAGAACAACAGCTTCGACTCCTCCAAAACCACCAAATAAGCCTAACAAAAAAGAGTCTAATAAATTGGATGATAATAATTATCGTCTTTTATTCCCCCTTTCCAACAATGATTTTTCTATGGACTCCAAACCTGTCCAAAAATTGAATGAAAAAGAGGAAAAAATAAATTTGGACAGGGAAAAGTTTGAAGATTCACAGATTAAAAGGATTATACTACTTGAAGCGCCAAAAAACAATTTTTGGACTAGAAGTACAGCAACGAATATTCCCCCTTTGAATCTAACCACAACAAGTACAACTTCAACTAGTACATTGGAAAATATAACTCAAACTGAAGCAGCAACAACAACTTCTACAATAAACACAACTACAGAATCAAAGGAGGAGGATACTAGTAGTAATGAAGCTCAAGAGACGACATTAAGTGTTGCTCCATATGCTTCAAGTCTAGTTGAGAGACTTGCACTGGTGAGAAAATTTTTTTAATAATTATGACGAGGCAGGATGTACCCTCCCAAATTTTAATAAAGTGGACGAGCTGACGAATACAAAACTATGAAAACTGAACGTGGGAGGGTCAATTTGCGGTCATCCTTGTTAGTTAGAGTATATCTTTCAGCTATTTAATAATTGTAATTCATATTCAACTTCATGTTTTATTTTAAGGCTCGCCGTTTGCGTGAAGAACAAGTAAAGTTGGAAATGATGGAAGCTGTAAGGCAGGAACAATTGGGAATAAATGAACCCGATCCTCAACGTAGTGTTTTAAAAATATTAATAATTTATTCTGAAAAAAATTTCTAGTAACTGAAAGAAAAAAGGAAATAGAGAATCGACTATTGCAGCTGGCACATGCCGAACGTTTCCATCGGGCATTGCTGGAACGACAAAAGATTGAGCAACAGTTGGAAAGGCAAAAAACAACCGAGAGAAGGGTGAAAAAATTTTTTTTTGAAATTTTCTGAACCTAAAAAATATTTTTTCCAATTTTTAGTACCCAACTACAATAGAAAAATCATTAGATACAACAACCCAAACACAAGCACCTTCTACTAATGAAAATAATTTAAATATCTGTGAACGTGTAGTACGATTTATTCGACTTTTTAAAATTTCAAGACCTCGTTTTTGGATCGAAACAAATTGTAAATTTGCCAAAAAACATTTCCCTAACGCCAGTTGTGAGAGAATTGGGGGACTTTTGAATGAGTGTTTGATGGAAGAAAGGAAGAGGATAAATAAGGAAAAGGAAGAAAGAAGAGAAAATGAGGGAAGAAGAGAAAATGAAGGAAGAAGGGAAGATGAGGAAAGAAGAGAGGATGAGGAAGAAAGTGATGATAAGAAAAGATAAAAAATATTTTTAAAATTTTTGGTACTTGTGTAGTTTACGTCCCATAAGCCCAGCCCCTTTTTTCTTCAGTACTTATATACATATTTATATCTCACTTTATAACGTTATAAATTTTTAAGTAATTTTCGATTATTTTATTTTATAAAGCATACTCACAAGGTTTATTATTTATATAAATCTATATTATGTTATAAATCAAAATCTAAGTTTTATTTTAGAGTTAAAACTTATTATTGCCTTGTTGATGAAGGGCCTTTGAAGTTTGGAGGATAAAATAATATGAAACGATTAGGAGATAATATTGCATTCGAGAATAGTAGCTCTGATCAAGTCTCTCCAATCTCTAATTTTTCTAAAATAACTATTCTTATAAGTACTTTAACCTTATTTTCGTAATATCAATTTAGACAATTTCCAAACAATTTATTAATATTAAATAATTTTTCAACTAGCTAAAATAGTTCATTGGATAAATGTGCTTATTCATAAATATCTATAAAAATGTTGATTCATAAATTTCTAACATTAATTACCAAACTAAAACCGATCGTCAATTTTACTTTTATCATTTAGAATATACAAAATAAATTTAATAAAATTAAAATATTAAATTATGCTTAATTTTGCCATATTATTTATTTTAACATCTCTTTTCAAATTTTCGTACTCAGCATTAAGCATTAATTGGGTGATAGATGGAGATGTAGAGTGCAAGGAAAATATTCACGGATTAGGAGAATTCTCGTTCCTTCTACAAGAAGCAGTCATCCGTTTCTATGAAAGAGATGGCGGACGTAAATTTTTCTAAGAAAACTTGACTTCATACCCCAAAATTTTTTAATTTATAAATAGAGAGCGGATTTAGTGGATTTGTTGATCCGGATACAGATCTACTGGAAGGAAAGTATGTGCTAACTGACAGTTCGGGACATTTCCAAGTTAAAGGATACAAATATCAAAGTTTTGGTACTTTACATCCTTACTTACAAATTGACCATCAATGCTATACTCCAACATCTAAACAGCCACTCCGAATGGTAAAAAACAAGATTAACTTGACTTTTTCCTTAGTTCTTTTTATGATTACTTAATATCAAAGGCTTAACTGATAAAAAGTGGAAAAACCAGTCCAGGGTTTCTAAAATTTTCTCATTCGGGTTTTTAGTGGAAAAGTTGGGCACAACCTTGTAGGTAAAATAAGACCAAATTGAAAACTTTTTCATGTGGAATATTTGAGCTGTTAGCAACCGTGCATCGGAGAGCTATCAGTATCAAGTCCCATCCTAACTTTTCCTATTTTTTAGGTGAGTTTAGCCACTTTATTATATAATTTTTGTTCAAACTAATGATATTTGATAATTTATATTGAATAAATTGATTCAGGGATGTTATTACAGAACTGTAATTGACCTAGATCAAAAGCCTGCTACGCAGAAGGTTCACATCATCCTAGGAATGGAAAGTGCTAGATTAATTACTGGAAAAGGAAAAGATTTAGTAATAAAGACAGAAGAAAATCTTTATTGTCCGCCTAAATAATATCATGAATTTTATTGAAAATAAAATTAAAAACAAAGATAAGGGATGTTATTACAGAATTGTACTTTTTACTAATAATTATTTCTGTTAAAAATTCTTTTAATTGATCTAAAATCTTATTAGTAATTATTGTGAAGCATATAGCTATTTAATTCATAGAGAGGCGGCGTGGTGTATGGATAAAACATTAGTCCTCTACTGAAGATGCTGGTTTGCTCCAAGCCGTCGAATACTTTTTAGAGAAATTGCTATAGCCCAGCAGCTTTACTTCATTTTCTTAATTATACCAGCTTTATATTCAGTTATTGCAGAAAATCTAGTTAAGCCTACATTGCTTCACAAAACTCTAGACGCACTTGTAATTAGAGGTTATTAGTGATCACAATTCTTGGATCATGAGACAGGATTAGATTCTAAACTTTCAAAGAAACTAAAATTATTACTTTTAAACAACACAAAGTTTACGTCAAATAAAAGCAATATAAAAATAATATTTAATTCTCACTTTTCTTGCCAGACTATTAAATTTTCTTTGAGAAATTGTTGCGAGTTTCCATTGGAAACCTAAAATTAATACATGCGTATTAACATTTAAATAATTATCGTTTCATTATTAACAAGCAGGAAGTTGGGTGTTACATTATTAGACTATTATTTAACGTTAATATTTAATAAAAAAAATTGAAAATAATTTTTATTTATGATTTTTCCTCTATTTTTTGGGTAAACTAAACTAGAATTTATTCATAAAAATCGGGACACGCCCAAGTACAGCGCAAATAACTAGTTAGACAATTTCTGGCCCTCATCAATTTTGGTACCAATCTTTTTAGCTCGATGAGTGGAATCGTTTAATACTAAATTTGATAGGATTCAGAAATCTTGAAGTAAGTTATAGCTTTGCGCCGTTATGGCCGCGCGCCTACCTGGGCTTTATAAAAATAATTTTCAGTTCAATTTTCATCGATTTTTTAAATTTACACGTCGTTATTATTTTATGTTTGCCTTTAACTTTCATTTAATACCTTTCTCTACCTTCCCAAATTTTTGTTCAAACAAATTATTTACTTAAATGCGTACAGCGAATCACTAGGAGATTAATAGTGGAGGATGTTTAGGCGCAGAATTGGGCTGTCGCAGGGCCTGACTTTTGGTCTTTTGATCCTTTTTGTTTGGGTTCCCTGAGTTTTCCCGATTTAGAAAATAGACGAACACATTCGAGGACGTGTTTATAGTTCCAAAGTTGGAAATTTCCAATTTTCTCTCCAATTCCAGAGCCAGTACAAATGTGGCATGGTTTCTCTCTCACTCATATACATACAGTTTCCCTCACTCGATCATGAACAGTTTCTTCCTTATGAGTGAAATTTATTTTTGGAATTTTCCACGTCTTATATCCCTCTCTATAACTTCAAAATGAATTAAAGTTTTTAAATATGCGGCATTGTTCTCTCTCACTCACTCATATACATAAGTTTCCCTCACTCACTCATAAAAATTTTTCCTCTTTTCGAGTTAGAAATAATTATAGAATTATCCACAACTTATCCCTATCTATTACTCTTTAAATAAATTTAAGTTTTAATATGTTTGCCAATTAAAATATTATGTACTGGGCCAAAAATTCACTCAAGCCCTAACGTTTGAGCGCCTAAATGTGTCAGCCGAGAGAACCTACCTGAATATATTTTTATTTGTATTAATTTCCCTCAACTATATAGTTTTATTGAACATTAAATGTTAATATTCACCAATATAATTTTTCTAATATTCTAATATATTATTGCTAAGATAATACGCAAAAATGTTCATTTGTCCTTATTGAGAGGAGGCTTACCTCAAGGCTTCTAATTAATTCTAAAATGGGTGAACCTTTTAGATTTTGATGCCAATCGACGTATATCATCGAGAACAGTCGAATAATACCAAATATAGCGGGATTGGAATTTAATTTAGGAAAATCCAGCTTTGAGGATAAATGAACTCCTTATAAGATTTAATACAAGGAAGCTTCTATTAAATAAAAAATGAATTCTTCAAAAAATGCGGAGACTTCCAATAATGATCTGACTTGTTTACCAACATCATCCTCAACCTGCATGCCAAACTCGCGTGTTTGTTCCGTCTGTTCTGGGCCTAGCAACGGTTTTTATTTTGGCGTGCTTTCATGCCGCGCATGTGCATCCTTCTACCGACGCTCATTCTTTGAGAAACGAAGATTTCTATGCCGAAGATTTAATAATTGCGATATTAATGCTGGTTGGTTTATTAATAAGGATTAATCCTTTTCCACCTAGTCCAGAAAATAATAATAGAACGTTTGAAAGTTTTATTAATACTAAAGCTGGGACTAAAAGCTCGTGACAACGAGCTTTTCAGCCGCTAAATTTTCAAATCCTACAAATCCTAATCATATAAAGTTCATATTTTAAATGTTTCCACATACATAATCAGAAAACTATTTCTGAAACAATTATAAAAAATTAAAATACCCTAAGCTTTATTTTAAACAGATGGAATGCGCAATTCATGCCGTGCCTGTCGCCTTCGACGCTGTCTTGAAGCTGGGATGAATATTGAATCCAGCATTTTTGAATCTAAAGGCAATCTTTAGATATTTCCTAATAAATTTGAAAAAATTTTAAGGCAGTAAATCAGCAGTACCGAATCAAACTTTGGATGTCGAAACACCCTCAACGCCTAGTAGCGTGTTAAATATTGATAGCCTCTCTAAAGTTTTGTTTGAATTTAAAGTTCTGATATTAATATTTAATTTCTAAAGATTTATGTCAACCTATCTTTTGATAAAACACTTCCAACTATAACACACTTTTTAAAGTCGTTGCATGATATGGAAGTTGGATATAAGGCTTTATCTAGTGTTTTGGGGAAATGGGATCCTAAGCTTGTCGAGGTTTGAGTTTAATTATAAATTTTTAAAGAGTGTCAGGATTTTTAGAAAATCAAAACATTGAAAACGTAGAAAAATCTGGACATTGAAAACGAGCTTTTTATTAGGATAAATTATGTCAAAGTTTTCTTGCAGCTCAGTAAACACGTGCTGAAAACGGGCGTCTTAAAGAGCTGCAGGCTATAAAAATAAAATCAATAGTTTTATTATCTCAATCAATGTTGGAGTATATTTTTTAGGACAATTAGGGTCATTACGATAAGATGATAAAAGTAAAAAATGATAAAAGAAAAAATTAACCAAAATTTAACGAAAGTTGAAAAAAATAAACACAGCTTTTTAAACGCTTGAATGAATTGTGTGTTTCGCTAAGCTGTCATACTGTATTTATTCTTTTTAGTCAATTCGAACTCTAAGAATTTTTTAAAAAATATTAAATTAATTTTATATTAAATGTTAAATTAATTCATATTTCGTCTCAGACGCATTCACATGTATATCATATCAAGATGCAAGAATATATGAAAATACGTAGGGGAGAAGCAATGCTTGTATTGTCCTTAATCCGTGAACATTTTCCCGAATTTGATAAATTATCTGGTCAAACACAAGTTTGTGTGATATTCTTTTTTTAATAATTTTTTAAAATTTAGATTATGATTTTAAAAAATTTTGCGTTTCGAGTCCTTTTTATGCAACGGGCTGAAATGACCGTAAGAATTAAAATTTAATTAATTTTTTTTTGAAATTTCTGGACCTTAAAATTTCCTTTAAAATCGATATCTTCCTTTGTATATTAAAAAAATACAAAAGAGCATTATTTATTGCTAAAATATTATTGACAGCCGGGCGAAGGAGAAGCGAGCGCTCGTCCTCTACATACATGTAATCCTAGATTGATTAATTTTATTAGTTTTTTTCTAACGTTTTGGAAAAAGAATTAGTATAGAAAATAATAAAAAAATTAAAAAATTATAGTTTTAAAAAATAAAATAGCCAGAAAACTAGTAATTTTATCATAAAAAGCCTAATTTACGCAAGTTTTTCGTCCACAACTTTTTTAAATATTGAACTAAAATTAAACTTTTATAATTATTTCTTAGAACATTTAATTCTCTATTAAACACAATTTAAATTATTCAAAAAAGTTAATTTTTGATCGAGTTATGGTCGTTGGCGCTTATGATGTCCAACTAAGCTTATCGGAAACCCCTTCTCTTTTAAGCCTAAAAATAAACTTTTTCTTATTAATAAAAATTTTAATAATTTTTTCCTCTCGGATTTCAGATAAAAACATTTCCCGACCAAACTAAGGAATGTAAGCAAATGATAATTCATCCAGGTTGTGTTGTTGATGGACGTCGGATGGAACTATTTGTTGGGGAAGAAACAATTCAGTGTTTTGATGACCAGAAACGGTTGGGAATGAGGGAGAGATTCTTGTAAAAATAAATGGGATAGTGGAACTCGAAATTAAAAAATTATCATGAAGATAACTTTTCCCAAAGCCAGGAAGAGTTATAATATGTTAATAGAGAGATTGATCTAAATGAGAAATTGATTAAGCTTTCAAATCAGCTATAAAGCTCTTAGAAATTCTGACAAGAGCTTTTGTCGCTCCAAGGTTTTTTGTAGCTCCTATCAATCATTTTTCTAATACAGACACCATCTCTGGCATTATTCAAATCTGTTCCAATTCAGAGCATTTAAAAATTTTGAGTTTAAGTCTACTCTTTCTGAAAGCTCCGGTAAAGCTTCCAAAGAGAGTTAGCTTAAATTTTAAAAAATAAAAAAAAGTTTTCTGGTCATCAAAACATTGAAATATTCAGGGAAGAATTTATCAAGTTTGTTTGAATCATCTTATGCATTTATGAAATTATTTTTAGACATTTCTACTCTATATTTGAAAAGCATGCAAAAATGACCATGGAGCAGTACCGCCCTTTGGAAATTTCACCTCCTGAATTTGCTGCAATGATAGGAATACAATTATGGAATTGTGGTATTTCTATAGATTCTTAGCTTTCCTAGATTTTGTGGGATACCATTAGGGACTTAATAATAAAAATAAATCTTATCATAGACCCAATAGTCTTAGGTCCCAAATATCAGTAGCTTAACATTTTCGATCAAATTCCGAAGATTTTTCGATCAGTCTTTGTTTGGCCTTCAAAACTAAACATTCAACCATCTAAAAACGTCCCGGCAACCAACTCCAAATTCTATTAAACAAACATTCGATATAAGCGACTTATGCTCTCATTGACACCTCATTATCACTTCGCATAATAGTTTATTAAAGAATCATTTTTGGCTAAAAAATCATCATTTGATCATCCCTAGTCGCTAATAATGGGATCTGACCTATTCAAAATTCACTCAATAAAATAAAAAAATATTTAAGTGGAAAGATATGCACCCCAGATAGATTTAATATCTGAAAAACGCAACCAACTTTATTCTGAACTTTTATCTGTTCTGGCACAGAGGTTGGGTTCTGATTCTGCTGCTATCGGCGTTCGCTATGGCCGAATAATGGGTCTTATACAAAATATTACTGTTGGTTTTAATTTTATAAAAAGTTGCTTTAATACACAAAACAAATTTGAATCTAAGACAATATCCTTTAAGAGATTAAGAAGCATATTTTGATAAAAAGTAGGAAATTTTTGAAGCAAATATCATCTGTTACGTTTCTAAGAATACATCAGAATTAAGCTTGAATCTAGCTTCAATGCTTCAAAAAATCTTGCTTATAAGAGATAAGCTTTGTTTCTTAATTTTGCTTCTGAAATATCATGCTTCTGAATCTTACCTCTGTAGCAAGATTTCAAGAAAGTATTTCGAAGCTGTCATGCAGAAGCATAATTCAGAATTATTTTCGAGATGTTACAGAAGTGAAGCTACTATACGAAAACGTTTTTTAATATACTTCAGAAATATTTTCATAAATCTTCAATTTTTATTCTTATTTAAAGATTCATTTACACGATTTGGAGGAAATAAATACTTTATTAAAAATTTTTATGCCAATGCCCTTTTCTGACATCTGGGATGAATTGAAGAACGATAAGCATTATAATGATAAAGAAATATTATCAATAGAAGTTGAAAAAGATAATGGATTTTATCCAAATTTTTAACACTCTTCAATCCTACCTCATCTAAATAATTTCCTTTATTGAAATTGTAAATTTAATAAAATGGATTTGCTTTGAATATCTTACTATAGAAATTTTAGAAATAAAAAATTTTTTTATTCCTTTTTGAATAAAATAATAGTACTATTTTATTATCAACTAGATTTTCAACTAAATTTTTAAAAACTTTATTGAAACTTGAAACTAATTGTATATTATAAGAAGGATTGGCAATCCTTCTTCAAATATATCCATGATTTCCCATGGTTCCAACTTTTTAAAAATTTCGGTTAAATTTGGTCAATTGAGTACAAGTTGTAAGGTGTTTCAACTAAATTTTTAAAAACTTTATTGAAACTTGAAACTAATTGTATATTATAAGAAGGATTGGCAATCCTTCTTCAAATATATCCATGATTTCCCATGGTTCCAACTTTTTAAAAATTTCGGTTAAATTTGGTCAATTGAGTACAAGTTGTAAGGTGTTTCAACTAAATTTTTAAAAACTTTATTGAAACTTGAAACTAATTGTATATTATAAGAAGGATTGGCAATCCTTCTTCAAATATATCCATGATTTCCCATGGTTCCAACTTTTTAAAAATTTCGGTTAAATTTGGTCAATTGAGTACAAGTTGTAAGGTGTTTCAACTAAATTTTTAAAAACTTTATTGAAACTTGAAACTAATTGTATATTATAAGAAGGATTGGCAATCCTTCTTCAAATATATCCATGATTTCCCATGGTTCCAACTTTTTAAAAATTTCGGTTAAATTTGGTCAATTGAGTACAAGTTGTAAGGTGTTTCAACTAAATTTTTAAAAACTTTATTGAAACTTGAAACTAATTGTATATTATAAGAAGGATTGGCAATCCTTCTTCAAATATATCCATGATTTCCCATGGTTCCAACTTTTTAAAAATTTCGGTTAAATTTGGTCAATTGAGTACAAGTTGTAAGGTGTTTCAACTAAATTTTTAAAAACTTTATTGAAACTTGAAACTAATTGTATATTATAAGAAGGATTGGCAATCCTTCTTCAAATATATCCATGATTTCCCATGGTTCCAACTTTTTAAAAATTTCGGTTAAATTTGGTCAATTGAGTACAAGTTGTAAGGTGTTTCAACTAAATTTTTAAAAACTTTATTGAAACTTGAAACTAATTGTATATTATAAGAAGGATTGGCAATCCTTCTTCAAATATATCCATGATTTCCCATGGTTCCAACTTTTTAAAAATTTCGGTTAAATTTGGTCAATTGAGTACAAGTTGTAAGGTGTTTCAACTAAATTTTTAAAAACTTTATTGAAACTTGAAACTAATTGTATATTATAAGAAGGATTGGCAATCCTTCTTCAAATATATCCATGATTTCCCATGGTTCCAACTTTTTAAAAATTTCGGTTAAATTTGGTCAATTGAGTACAAGTTGTAAGGTGTTTCAACTAAATTTTTAAAAACTTTATTGAAACTTGAAACTAATTGTAAATTATAAGAAGGATTGGCAATCCTTCTTCAAATATATCCATGATTTCCCATGGTTCCAACTTTTTAAAAATTTCGGTTAAATTTGGTCAATTGAGTACAAGTTGTAAGGTGTTTCAACTAAATTTTTAAAAACTTTATTGAAACTTGAAACTAATTGTATATTATAAGAAGGATTGGCAATCCTTCTTCAAATATATCCATGATTTCCCATGGTTCCAACTTTTTAAAAATTTCGGTTAAATTTGGTCAATTGAGTACAAGTTGTAAGGTGTTTCAACTAAATTTTTAAAAACTTTATTGAAACTTGAAACTAATTGTATATTATAAGAAGGATTGGCAATCCTTCTTCAAATATATCCATGATTTCCCATGGTTCCAACTTTTTAAAAATTTCGGTTAAATTTGGTCAATTGAGTACAAGTTGTAAGGTGTTTCAACTAAATTTTTAAAAACTTTATTGAAACTTGAAACTAATTGTATATTATAAGAAGGATTGGCAATCCTTCTTCAAATATATCCATGATTTCCCATGGTTCCAACTTTTTAAAAATTTCGGTTAAATTTGGTCAATTGAGTACAAGTTGTAAGGTGTTTCAACTAAATTTTTAAAAACTTTATTGAAACTTGAAACTAATTGTATATTATAAGAAGGATTGGCAATCCTTCTTCAAATATATCCATGATTTCCCATGGTTCCAACTTTTTAAAAATTTCGGTTAAATTTGGTCAATTGAGTACAAGTTGTAAGGTGTTTCAACTAAATTTTTAAAAACTTTATTGAAACTTGAAACTAATTGTATATTATAAGAAGGATTGGCAATCCTTCTTCAAATATATCCATGATTTCTTATGGTTCCAACTTTTTAAAAATTTCGGTTAAATTTGGTCAATTGAGTACAAGTTGTAAGGTGTTTCAACTAAATTTTTAAAAACTATATTGAAACTTGAAACTAATTGTATATTATAAGAAGGATTGGCAATCCTTCTTCAAATATATCCATGATTTCCCATGGTTCCAACTTTTTAAAAATTTCGGTTAAATTTGGTCAATTGAGTACAAGTTGTAAGGTGTTTCAACTAAATTTTTAAAAACTTTATTGAAACTTGAAACTAATTGTATATTATAAGAAGGATTGGCAATCCTTCTTCAAATATATCCATGATTTCCCATGGTTCCAACTTTTTAAAAATTTCGGTTAAATTTGGTCAATTGAGTACAAGTTGTAAGGTGTTTCAACTAAATTTTTAAAAACTTTATTGAAACTTGAAACTAATTGTATATTATAAGAAGGATTGGCAATCCTTCTTCAAATATATCCATGATTTCCCATGGTTCCAACTTTTTAAAAATTTCGGTTAAATTTGGTCAATTGAGTACAAGTTGTAAGGTGTTTCAACTAAATTTTTAAAAACTATATTGAAACTTGAAACTAATTGTATATTATAAGAAGGATTGGCAATCCTTCTTCAAATATATCCATGATTTCCCATGGTTCCAACTTTTTAAAAATTTCGGTTAAATTTGGTCAATTGAGTACAAGTTGTAAGGTGTTTCAACTAAATTTTTAAAAACTTTATTGAAACTTGAAACTAATTGTATATTATAAGAAGGATTGGCAATCCTTCTTCAAATATATCCATGATTTCCCATGGTTCCAACTTTTTAAAAATTTCGGTTAAATTTGGTCAATTGAGTACAAGTTGTAAGGTGTTTCAACTAAATTTTTAAAAACTTTATTGAAACTTGAAACTAATTGTATATTATAAGAAGGATTGGCAATCCTTCTTCAAATATATCCATGATTTCCCATGGTTCCAACTTTTTAAAAATTTCGGTTAAATTTGGTCAATTGAGTACAAGTTGTAAGGTGTTTCAACTAAATTTTTAAAAACTTTATTGAAACTTGAAACTAATTGTATATTATAAGAAGGATTGGCAATCCTTCTTCAAATATATCCATGATTTCCCATGGTTCCAACTTTTTAAAAATTTCGGTTAAATTTGGTCAATTGAGTACAAGTTGTAAGGTGTTTCAACTAAATTTTTAAAAACTTTATTGAAACTTGAAACTAATTGTATATTATAAGAAGGATTGGCAATCCTTCTTCAAATATATCCATGATTTCCCATGGTTCCAACTTTTTAAAAATTTCGGTTAAATTTGGTCAATTGAGTACAAGTTGTAAGGTGTTTCAACTAAATTTTTAAAAACTTTATTGAAACTTGAAACTAATTGTATATTATAAGAAGGATTTGCAATCCTTCTTCAAATATATCCATGATTTCCCATGGTTCCAACTTTTTAAAAATTTCGGTTAAATTTGGTCAATTGAGTACAAGTTGTAAGGTGTTTCAACTAAATTTTTAAAAACTTTATTGAAACTTGAAACTAATTGTATATTATAAGAAGGATTGGCAATCCTTCTTCAAATATATCCATGATTTCCCATGGTTCCAACTTTTTAAAAATTTCGGTTAAATTTGGTCAATTGAGTACAAGTTGTAAGGTGTTTCAACTAAATTTTTAAAAACTTTATTGAAACTTGAAACTAATTGTATATTATAAGAAGGATTGGCAATCCTTCTTCAAATATATCCATGATTTCCCATGGTTCCAACTTTTTAAAAATTTCGGTTAAATTTGGTCAATTGAGTACAAGTTGTAAGGTGTTTCAACTAAATTTTTAAAAACTATATTGAAACTTGAAACTAATTGTATATTATAAGAAGGATTGGCAATCCTTCTTCAAATATATCCATGATTTCCCATGGTTCCAACTTTTTAAAAATTTCGGTTAAATTTGGTCAATTGAGTACAAGTTGTAAGGTGTTTCAACTAAATTTTTAAAAACTATATTGAAACTTGAAACTAATTGTATATTATAAGAAGGATTGGCAATCCTTCTTCAAATATATCCATGATTTCCCATGGTTCCAACTTTTTAAAAATTTCGGTTAAATTTGGTCAATTGAGTACAAGTTGTAAGGTGTTTCAACTAAATTTTTAAAAACTATATTGAAACTTGAAACTAATTGTATATTATAAGAAGGATTGGCAATCCTTCTTCAAATATATCCATGATTTCCCATGGTTCCAACTTTTTAAAAATTTCGGTTAAATTTGGTCAATTGAGTACAAGTTGTAAGGTGTTTCAACTAAATTTTTAAAAACTATATTGAAACTTGAAACTAATTGTATATTATAAGAAGGATTGGCAATCCTTCTTCAAATATATCCATGATTTCCCATGGTTCCAACTTTTTAAAAATTTCGGTTAAATTTGGTCAATTGAGTACAAGTTGTAAGGTGTTTCAACTAAATTTTTAAAAACTATATTGAAACTTGAAACTAATTGTATATTATAAGAAGGATTGGCAATCCTTCTTCAAATATATCCATGATTTCCCATGGTTCCAACTTTTTAAAAATTTCGGTTAAATTTGGTCAATTGAGTACAAGTTGTAAGGTGTTTCAACTAAATTTTTAAAAACTATATTGAAACTTGAA